AATGCACTGTCAGATTAAATAAATACCCCTTATCTACAAGTTTTGTGTTATTGTCAGTAATGGCTAGAAAACATGCAAAAGTACATAAATTTATCATGGTAGGGCATATATAGTTATAAGTCACATATGAAGCATGGAAATGGATTTGCATATCTCTGAAATTGTCGTTGTGAGTTACTATTTTGATATCTCTATCACAGCTGAAGGAAGACAACACAGGCTAAGCATGGATAGAAACACTGTCATTTGGGGATTGGTGATAATTTGGTTTCAAAGCATTCTCTGTTTTTTTTTTTCTCAAGTCTGAGGCAAGTATGCCTGACAGGCTTAGGACTTCAATAATCAGAGATTTTCTGGGGAAAAGATGAAAACAGATTTTACTTGTATCTGTGCAATTGCTGCAGGGACCATTTTGTTTAATCTGAGCTTGTTTGGATTTGGGAAAATATTATCACTTAGTGTTACAGCTGTATGGATGCCCTCTGTCTCCCTACCGTCACTTGGGGAAAATGCCTTTTAGGAAGTGCTTTGGTTTCATGCTACTACTTCAAGATGCACAAGAAAAAAGTGGCCAAGGAGCAAAGGGTTGCAGAGGGTGAACTAGTTTGCATCGCTAAGAAATACTCCTGTAAGTCCAGGTTTGAGGCAGAAGAGGGGAGAAGCAAGCATGTCAGTGGACACACAGAAGGGTTTAGTAGCCAGGACAGCCAACCCTGCCCTTTTCATAAGCACTAAGTTCACTGAATTTGCATTTGTCAGTATAGTGTGCATCTTTCCTGAGCCCTTTGATTGCTACTGCCTTATCCAGCACCTGACATATGGGTCATTTCAGCAATATCTAAATTTTTGTTAGGCTGTCTGTTGAGGTAATGCTGCAACTGAATCAAGATCAACATCACTTTGGCATTTAGGAAATGTGGCATATGGGCTAAAATCTATATCACATTGAATTTAAATGCTTCATGGTGGTAATCCCATGGTGCTGCCCCACAGAATTCTGGATTGCTCCCTTGGCACAGGAGTGGTGGCTGGGGCACTAAGTGTCCAGGAGATTACCCTGTCTGGGGTAGGATCTGCACTCCCAGCATGCAGCCCTGCTCTTAGCACTGTCGCGGACAGCAGCCTCTTGGGACATGCCCTCTATGTCAAAACTTTCCAGACCGGTTGTGTTTTTATTATATTAACATCACAGATAAAAGCAAAGCTTTCATCTTTCAGGGGTCAGCCCATGCCCTGAGGTTCAGTTCTGGATCTTGGCTTTTCTACTGGTCAGGGATGTTCTCACTCTGAATGTTTTACTCTCCTTTTTAGCTAAAATGTGTAAGTGTCCACATAGAACATATATTATACAGTGCATGCTGCCATAACTTCCAGCAGTACCGTGAAAGTATCCATGCCCACCACTGACTCCTAAACCTCGATAGTGCTGGCTTTGCTACGCATTGAAACAAAATTACATGATGAATGTATTGCATGTGGCATCAGAATCTGTCCTTTAGAGGACAAGTAGATTGAGTTCAATAGAGGTTAAATTGGAATAAATGCCATCCACTCAAGCATGCACATCCCACTTAAAACTCTGCAGAGCAAGGCGATCACCTCATTGTCTCTGCTTTAGCCTCTGGCCAGAGTGGCATTCACACTGGGATATTATATACAGATAATTATAGCATGTATCTTTTTAGAACAGTTTCCATAAGCAAAGAAATTGCAGGAATGGTGTTATTCATCAGATGCAAGCGGGCCATTTTATTTTCTTTTCAAATGTTCTAGTTGGAAAATTATTCTGAGCCTTTGCCTGAGCTCAGTAATAGTGCTGCAGGGATTTCCCTTGTTTTGTTTGATTTGGGCTTTATTTGTTCAGCATGTACTGCTTATGACCCAGGTTCTCACTTGGTAAATACCGGTGTGATGAAGTTCACTTTGTGGATGTACTTAGATCCCTTATATCTCTTGGCACAAACAAAAATTTGTGCATGAGGGAGAAAGCTCCACTGAGATGTTCTGACTGATACTCTGATAACCACATACTGTTGATTTCTTAACAGAAGCAGCCCTCTTTATTCCACTCTCCAGATCATAACTAACATCTCATCTACAGCCACTCTTTACTGGATGGAGGATGTGATGAGGGGACCAGTGGTTTTACATGAAGCTTAAGATATTTTTGGTAGAGAACGACCAAAGTGTTCTCTGTTCACAGTACAGGGGAAAAAGGAGGTCCTGGGGGACCAAGCTGAAGCCCTTTCAGAGCTTGTTATGTTTGGGTTTCCCTCTGCAGCTTCAGAAGCAGAGAAGCTCTTTCTCTTGACTATTTGCTTCTGCCCTCTTGCTGTCCTGTGAGCTGTTTCCAATGCATGGAGCACCATGATGAACCAAATCAACAAGCTTTCCTGAGCTAAAAAATACCCTCTGTTCAATTATTTATTTATTCTCTTACACTATTTGTAGCTTGGATCAACTCTTTGGCATGGCTCCCTGAGAGGTCCCATGGGAGAAAGAGAGGGAGAAGTGCAAGAGTAACCATTCCCTCTGACTGTTGCCTCAGCCTTGACCTAGTAAGCAGTGAAAAAGTCTGTCTTTCTCAAGACAGCTGGCCCACGTTCAGAGCTCCAACACTTGTCTGATCCCAAGAGAAGAACATTCAAATGAGTGCAGTTTGTCTTAAAGGTTGTTTCAGCAACCTGGGCTGTTTTGTTGTATGATCTGACCGGTGCCAAGCCACATAGAGTCGGTCAAGGGCACAGATGGACAGGAGGATGCCACCAGAGAAAGCTCCTCCCAGCCATCCCTTGGTTTAGGTGCAGCTTAAACACTGCAGTTTTTGCATTGAGCCTGTATTGGGGCAGATCTTTGCTGGTAACCTCAGAGATGCAACAAGTCCATCAGGTACATTTGTGGATCCTGAAGACCACAGCAGGCTAACTTACATCTTTTTATTTTTGTGAGCAGGCTAAACTGCACCTGCTCCTGCACTGTGTTGGAGTGCTTTCCAAAATCACACTATTCTAAAGATCTGATATGAGATGCCTAAACTGAGCATCCAAGCTGAGGTTTTGAACAGTCTGAGAATCTGTAATTACTGGTTTTTCCTTGGTTTTAGCATAACATTGCTTAAAATTCAAGATGCCCTCTGGGATGACTCCTTGACTTTTCTAGTCAGTTCAAAGATTCTTCATCCCTGTCCCCAACAGCAACACATTTTCCAGAGCAGACTAGCCATAAGATAGTATTTCTAACTTTCAAAATGTGACCATTCCGCAGAATAAAAATCTACCTGTGACTCTGATAATTTATGGTCCTTGTACTTGAAGCAAATACTGATTTGAAGTATGAACACAATGCAACAGTTAAGTTTGAAACTGAAACATAAACTAAAACTAAAACAGAAAATCCCACCTATAATTTCTAAAGCAAATGTTAAGAAATTCAGAAATTCAAAACATATAAAAAGGGTCAAGCAGTTTAGATTATTTACCCACAGCCCATCAGTCTTCCCATTTACCATCAGTTGCTGCTCTGATTCCAAACATTATGTTTATCTAGATGTATAATGAGAAATAACTGAGGAATGTGAATGAACAGCCTTGCTTTAAACATGATCCAGAGTATTTAATCTGTTATCACTGTAACTCCTAATGCTGATGATTTTACTGAGAAGTACCACATGTTCAGTGAATAGCTTTGATGATTGGTGTGTTTTTCTCACTGTCATTATGTTGGTTTTCCTACTAATAAAGCATCAGTTTTTCAGTAAATCTTCAACAGGTGTTGCCTTTTGTTACTAGAACTGAAACATATTTCCAGCTTTGTCAAGAGTCTTCATTATTTCCTTTGCAGCACCCCAGTTTGTGATTGGTGCTTCTATGAATTATGGCTCTGCAAAAGTATCATTTCATGTATTCATTTCTCCAAGTTAAAAGTATATAGTTCTTTTAATATGGAAAGCTGTGCAGTGAGGCTGGGCTTTCATTATACATACGATGAGATAACAGCCTCCTTTTGATCCCACTGAAAAGCAAAGCAGAGCTGAAGGAGCCCCAGAAAGGGGTTGTAAAGTTTTTTACCACATTGTCTTCTGTATCATTTGCCTTTGCTCTGTATTAGAATAACTGAGAAATGTGTTAATTTGACCCCTGTATAGATAGCATAGGGAATGACTGTATGAGTACAGAATTTTTCAGGGTTGTGTCTGGTGTTTTTCTTCAGAGCAAGTTTGCATTTTGCTCATTTATTGCAATCAAATACAATGGTGATAACTTTTGTCAGTTCCTCTAGATTTAATAAAGCAGAGTCATATAATTTCAAGAGGGGATTCTTTTTTCCATCATGCTGTTTATAAATATTTGGAATCTCAGTGGTGCTCTGTGTGACATCTCTTCCTTCCCCACCAGGCAGAAGTGGATTTTAGTGCCAAAGATAAATATGCCAGAAAATCTCCTGAATCTGTCATACTCCCAAAATGTCAGAGTGGCAAGAGATGTGTAAACCCTGGAGGTTCAGTTAGACCTTAAAACCCAAATTTGTAGCTTAAGAGGTTCTTCAGGAAGGCCCCCTTCCTTCTTCTGAGCTTTCAAGGAGACCCAGTGCCCCTGAAAGCAATGTAAAATAAGTCATCAGGAAAATCACCTTTGGTGATACCTGGCAGCATGCCAGTTTCAGTAGTGTCCAGTGGAACTGTATCAATGTCCTGTCTTCAGGAACTGAGTTATGCCTGTGATGCAGAAAACTTAGTGCTACCTATGTACAAAAGTCTCATATTGAAGCTTTTCCATAACAGAAAGTGATGGAGGATTATTCCAACTCTAAATTCTGGTACATCTCTGTCCCTGGGAAATACTGCACACTTCCTATGTGTGCCATTGGACACATCATGTTCTCGTTTCTTATGAAACTGATGCTTAACTTACTGTAGTGCTTTTAAAGATAAGTAAGCAACAAGTCTTTGCCTTGTAGTTATTCTTCCTTTCCTTCATGGAGCTTTCTCCTTTCCTCCACAGTTTGTCAAGGGACAAATAACAAGCTGACCCAACTGGGACATGTGGAAGACCATTTCACCAGCCTGCAGAGGATGTACAACAATTGCGAGGTGGTACTCAGCAACCTGGAGATTACATATGTGGAGCACAATCGTGACCTCTCTTTCCTGAAGGTTAGTGCTCATGGCCAGTGGGGCCTTCTCTGCTACAACAAATCCTACTCCATTTTTTAAGTGCAAAGGATCAGCTGATAAAAGCTGCTGATAAAATTCTGTGGTGATCCAAAAACAGAGCTAGTTAAGATCAGAGGAATCACAGCCTACAGTCTAAGCATACCTGTAGGCTGCAGGATGCGCTCAACCTTACTACATAAATCAGGTACTTTGAGAAATAGCTTTTAAAGCACTTGCCAGCCTGTGTTGGGTGCCATGCAGATGGGTTTCTTCTCATTTATAATTAGAATTACATCCTTACCTATTACTTCACTTCTCAGAGAGCAAAAGGCTGTGTGGTGCTGACAGGGCAAAGCAAAGCACAAAGCAAGTGGCAGATTGTGAAGTGTGGAGGCCTTTTCTCTGCCCTCCAAACTGTGATCCCTTTCTCTGCCATGGTGGTGAGTGCCTCTCCAGCCTGAAGTGCTCACACCCTCAGCAGGCAGGCAGGTCCTGTGCAATAACTTCCCACATGGATTCTTGAAGTGATCTTCAAGATAATCCCCTGTGATTGACACATGGGCTACTCCCATCTCAACATTCGTTTTGTGCACAAGTTCATGGGCAAATTAAGGCGAGCTGAGGAGGGAGGGAACAGAGGATGGATGTTAAAGCACAACCACAGCATGGGGAGGAGCCATGGCTGGCATGGGGACCTCCAGGTTCTCCACCAGCAAGTAACAAGCAGTGTCAAACAATCTATGGTTTGAACATATGGATTAAAAATATGATGGTATTGCCATTCTTCTTTCCCAAACACAACCTGCTCACAGAGCTCAGGGTTCTGAGGAAGGTAACGAGTCTCTTGAAAATTTACTGGTAGTCTTTATAGAAAGGGAAAATATCCTCAGTAGCCTGAAGGATTTTCACTTGCAGTGATTTTTGTAGGGGATAAAAATGCATACATTTCAAAGTGCAAGATAGGAATAAACCCATATGCAGGAACCTCACTTGCCTTTTTGTCCTGTAAAGATATATATTGTTTAGAAAGGAGAAGGCTGCCTAGTCATCCCCTTGGATGAGCATGGGAAGGGGAACAGAAGAGACCATGTAAAAGCCTGAATCAGGTGGCATCTGTGTGCTGCCAGTTGTTGAAGGCTAGGCAAGTGTTTATGGGAAGCATCACATGTAGTTGTGTGCATGCATGTGTGCATGCATGCTTGCACTTTTCTCCTGCCTCCCCGAGCAAGTCCCACTTACCTTTACTTGGGGACAGAGCAGGAGTATGCTGGACTTTTGGCAGCTGCTGAAAGGCTGAGTTTATACATGCTTAACCACCAAGGTTTTTCACATAGTCCCTTTTTCTTCTTAGATTTACTTATTTTTAATGAGATTAGGTGGTCTGTCATTCCTTGAAATACAAAGATGGTGGATTGGAGGAGTGGGAGGAGGAAAGCAGTTATTGAAGAGTACTATGGATGAAGCACCTTGTTTCTTCTGCTGTTCTCTCAGACAATACAGGAGGTTGCAGGCTACGTGCTCATCGCCCTTAACATGGTGGATGTCATTCCCCTCGAAAACCTCCAGATCATCCGAGGCAATGTGCTGTATGACAACTCTTACGCCCTGGCTGTTTTATCCAACTACCACATGAATAAAACCCAGGGACTCCGACAGCTGCCAATGAAGCGGCTTTCAGGTGAGACATGGCCAAGAAGTGTCCTAAAAGCAGTCTGTCCATCCATGCATTGGTGGTGAGAGCACTGTGCATGGAAAGGAGAAGGTTCACCATGGCAAACTTTTTCTCCGGGTGGTGCCATATGTGACATGAAAGCACAGGATGTGGAAGCTGTGTTTTCTTGGGGGGTCTGTGGCACAGGAGAGGCTCCTGTCTCCCTCGATGGGCACCTCTAAAGCCAACTTCAACTCTCAGCTTATTGGTGTCAAGATCTACTGGAGATTGCCTCTCAAAGTCACGTGCCATCAAAACCTGCTTTAAAAGCAAGGATCTGAATGTAGTTTTCTGATTGCTTTCCTGCTAGACAGTCTTCTGCAAAAGATAAAGAAAATTCATCAAGATTCATCTTTGCTCCCAAAACTGGCAAAGAAGCATCCATTTGTTATTTTGTATTATTTGATTCCAGTGCATAGATATCAATATTTTCTATTAGATCCCTGTGGGAACTGGTAATATGTGTGTCTCACATGGTCTCTGGCTGGGCACACCAGCAGTGTCTACTCTGCTGAGCAATGTGGGCCCTAGAGGTGGCTGGCACCAGGCAGAAAACTGCACATAGTGGCATCTTGGTGGCATCTGAGAAAAGCTGATCTCCAGGACCTGTTGGTCTGTTTTTGGTGTTTGTTACACCATCAGGAGTGCTGATGCCCTGCAGATTGTTCCTTTCTGTCAGTATCCTGTGACTGAGGTGGAGAAATATGTCATTTATTTATCTTTCTTTAGATCAGAGACATTTTGGGGATGTCTCTGGGACAAATTAGGGATTTGCTTCACTTAGCAATTTTTATTTTTTTTTCTGTAACAGAAATTCTTAATGGAGGTGTTAAAATCAGCAACAACCCCAAACTGTGCAACATGGACACTGTTCTTTGGAATGACATCATTGACACAAGCAAGAAGCCTCCCACAGTGCTTGAATTTGAGAGCAACCTGTCTTCTTGTGAGTATTAACCTACCAGAAGTGCTATGTGTCCCTCTCCATTTTGGAGAGTAAAATGAGAGAGAAAAACCATATGGGTAGCTTCATGGAGTTACTTGAAGCCTTTTTCGAGCCCAAGTAATGCCATAAAATTCTCCTGTTTTGGACTGTACAGATTACCCTGGCAAAAGTAATAATAAACAGGTAAATAAGTCTGACACTTCAGATCAACAGGGATATGAGGGGATATTTAAAAGTTTGTACAGCATATGCTTAGAGCAGGCTCAAACTAATCCTTCAGCCCCATCCCTTGTAAAATCCCCAGTCATTTCACAGAAAGGAGGGTTTATTTTCATTTCTGAGCATTTCATTTCTAGCACTATAAATTGGCAGGAAAACATATTTTCTTTATCTTCTTCCAGTTGCATAATTGCCTGAGAGCTAATAGCCAACTTTTGTGTTGACTTATTTTTCTATGGAGCCCTGGTGTAATCAAGGAGTTGCAAACTATACATGTCAGCACAGGAGTTTGGCTCTGAACACTACAGAAATGTTAACCTTTAACTTTTCAACTTAAATAAAAAGTTATTTGGTCCCACACCAAATTAATCCACTCTTAGACAAGTATTGGCATTTGTTCAGGTATTTGATGGCTAACAGGGGGAAGGAGAATCACATGCTATTAGTGGGAAGAAACACTCTAGTAGGAAATGTCTTTTAAATGTAGTGAATTCCACATTAATCTGCTAAGACAGCCTTTTATGGCTTTAATAATGATCCAATACTCTAAAATAAGTTGTTTCTCTGGGACTTTGCTTGTCATTAAAAGAAAGAAGAAGAAAGAACAGAGCGAGGAGGGAAGAATGGGAAAGAATCCAGCACTGAACCGTCAAGGTCAGGCAAGGTGTCTGTCCATCCTGCCCATCTCTCCATTAATTGTCCATCTGCAGTGTAGTCCTGCACAAGGAGTATTTTTGGCAGAGGATGGGAGGAGGGCACAAAGCAGACAAGTCAAATTACTTAGTGGTCAGAGTAGCTGGCGGTTGCCTGTGAATCCAGTTGGATTTGTTTTCTTTTTTGAATTGCTTGGTTCAGAAACACTGATTTACATGTGGCCTGTAGTGAGCAGCTGGCACATGCCTGACTTCAAGCCAGTGGTGACTTGCCATAGCATGAAAACCTCAGCAGAAGGGCCAGCCGGGCAGTAGCTGAGATTCCTGTTCCTGGGAAAAATATGCCTCTTTCGTAAGCTAGACTGGCTGGGTATTGTGCTCTCTTGCTCAAAGGTGTGGAGGTGGAGAACTGCACGTAGGAAAGCAGAGGTGAACGAAGGAAAACGAATTCAGCTCTCAAATTTTTTGAGCACTGTTATATAGGTGCTTCCTACCCTGGTTTATCAGGAAGGAAATCTCAAATCATTGTTTTCTGTTGTTCATGGTACCTTGTTATTTTCTTTGTTTACAGAATATTATTCTCCCTCTTGTATTTTAGGTCCCAAATGCCATCAGAACTGCACAGAAGACCACTGCTGGGGTCCTGGTGAAAAAAACTGCCAGACATGTAAGCCTGCAGATTAATTAAGAAAAGCTTATGTGCTCTAACATACATACTACATTTCTGTCTACTGAAAAACTAACAGTAATTATGCAAATAGGGTGCTTGCTTGATACTAAGAGAGAAGCAGAAACATCCATTTACCAGGGTCTGAGGTTTTGCAACAGTTTCTTTTTCCTAAAGTAAAGTTTGAGGAAGAACACTGACAATTTGTTTCACTGTTTGGTTTTGGTTCTTTTTTTCCTTTAAAAAGTGGGGAAATACACTGAGTTTTGTTTCATGAAAAGTTCAGTGGAAAAACTGCTGATCTAGACATAATGCAAATGGAAGCAACATCCTACATTCGGTTTTCCATTGCAAATAGTCACCTGAACCTAAGTTTTTTGTCTGCAAATATCAAGCCAAATTTGTATGGCATAGAGCTTGAGGAAAGAGGAGCATATTTGCTCCTTTGCTGTCTTCATACAGCGTAAGCTTCAGTTTTTGTCAGCTGGCTCTGCAGTTTGGCTCTCTGGGTGGATGGTGGCTGTGCATACAAAGCCCTTCCCGGGTTGGTTCCTGCAGCTGAGGCTGCACAGCTGTCCCAGGACCTTGCAAAACCTCCAGTCTCAGCCCTGCAAGTTTCCAGCATTTACAAACCCTCGCTGGAATCAGGAGGTTGATGAGTGCATGAAACAAAATCTTTTGTGGGCTCTTGCTCGCCTCTCCAGGCATTTGAGAATCTGGCCAACTGAAAATGTATCCTGCATTTCCATATGTGGGAAAGTTTGGGGGATACATCTCGTTCTTCTGGAAATGAACGTGGGATACTCTATGTGAAGTAAAAATGTTTGATGTAATATATGTTTCCAGCAGGAAACTCTAGTCAATAGTTCTCAAAGTGATGAGGTGCTTTATTCCCCTGCTAATTCTTATGAAAAAAATTGTATCAAAATGCTGTTGATGTAGAACAATGTGCCTTTTATCACCCCTGTTTCTAGTTGAATGGAGGAGTTGCCATCAGAGAGGTTAATACATACTGTGGAAATAATCTGTTTCCTTGAAAAAACACTACCTTGCTTACAGGTCTACAAGAAAAAATAAAATAATACAGTTTGGATACAGAACTGTGTAATGGAAAAAGAATATATGATTTTTAAAAATTACTGTTATATACCCTGTGGCTGGCTATTTTTTGAAATAATTTTCTGTTCATTAACAACCATGGTTTTCAGACTTACAGGAATTTCTGATAATATTGTAATTCATTTGTGCCAACTATGAAGTTGGTGACAGCTAGCACAGTGCATAGCTGAAATGTTCAGGATGCTGTTTGAAGCAGAGTAGCCATCAGGTTCTTCTAGCACCTTATGCCAGACTTCATGGATCAGTAATTTTTATTTTTTTTAGAGAACAAACAATCCCATTTTGGGTCTCTGGTACAAAAACATGGTAGCCATTCATTTGTGGGTTTTTTTTAAATTGTTCTGGTTATCCTTTTCTCTCCTTTGATATTCAAATGGAGAAGCTTTCCCAGTTCTCAACAAAAGGTTGCAGGCAGTTTTTACTTCCCTGCAAAAAGCTGGACATGGGCCAGTTCTTTCCTTCAGGTTGTTGCACTGGTGCAAACCCTAAGGGAGTTATGTAATGAAGATAAAATTTGGCCAAGGATTTAAACATTAAGGAAAAAGAATTCAATGTGCATATAAAATCTGCTTGCTGAGTGAGTCTCCCCTATCTTTGCAAATTTTGGAAATATTTTAGTGCATTAAAGGGACATTTCACAGCATCACACCTACAATGTACAGTTTCCAGTTATATTACAGAGTCCTGTCAATTCTGTCACATTGTTTTTCCCAAAGTTAGCACCAATAATTGTAAATTTTCTCAGTGAAGTGGAGACAGATTCTACCCTGTTGCCCAGCTATAAGATGCAATGGCTCTGTCACAGAGTTTTGCTTGGTCTACAGGGTTGTTCTTTCTAAGCAGGACATATTTCCTGGCTGGGATCAGAGTTCTTAGCACCTCATAAGAGCCAAGATAATTACAGGCTGAACATGACCCCTTCTTACCACCACCCACACTCGCTCTCACCCCTCCCAAACTTTGGCCTTAAATGAGGACAGAATGTCCCATGAGGAGAATCTAGGACAGAACCTGCACCAGACCTTCTCTCCGTATTTCTTGATCTCATTGCAGCAAGTACAGCTGATGTTTTTCATTTTTTCTTGTATCTTCCAGTAACAAAAGTCATCTGTGCTCAGCAGTGCTCTGGTCGGTGCAGGGGAAAGGTGCCCAGCGACTGCTGCCACAACCAGTGTGCCGCGGGGTGCACCGGGCCTCGGGAGAGCGACTGCCTGGTAATGATGCTGCACCACCACCACCACAATGGTTCCAGCCCCTGACACAGCGAGCAGGGCTTTCAGCTGCTTGTCCCCTAGCTTTCTTCATCCCAGAAAGCCTCCTGAGAGATGCTGACCTGGAGGGTGCTCCAGGGCTTCCCTGCATGGGTGGTTGTTGGGAGGGAAGATGATGTGAACTTCACAGCAGCCTTTGCTGGTCTTTGCTGACATTGCCCATGGACCTTCCTAGTGTGTTCCAAACCAGTGTTAGTGCCTTTGACTGCCCAGTGAGCTCAGCGTTGTTGCAGAGCATCTAAGTGTTTGCCATAGGCAACTTCCCCACGTGAGCAGGTCCCCAGGCCCACAGCAGCCCCCACGGTGCAGCAGTTATCCAGGCCAGCACAGCTTTGCCTTGTACTCCTTAGCATTAGTCAGTACTAATCTTGGTTTACTAAAGTAAGAACTTGAAAGGGAAGTAAAGAAGTGATGGATCTTCATTTTTTTGCATTTCACCAAACTTCACACATGAAATCTGTGTTTCTCTTTCTGCTTTTGACTTGGCACAAAAGCACTGTATTTGGGGAGCCCTGGGGCAGTGAAGAGAGAAGAAACAGATGGAGGTTCTTTAGGGAATAAAGGTCTCATTGCTTTTCCATGAGAGTTTCAGGGGTTTGGTGCATGCTGTGATTTTAACTTTTCCCCATGTTTTCACTACACTTCATTCAAAATTAAGTGACATCTCAGTAATCACCATAGAAATTCTCCAGGCTGGATTTTACTGTTGTTACCTCTATTTCTGGTTTCCTTTTATGATGGCTATGATCCCCTTACTGGCTTACAGAGAAGACAGTTACTCTCTCTCATCTGGAAAGCCAGGGGAGAAGAAAGGGAAAAATAGAGTAATTATTAATTTAATGTAGATTTAGATTGGAAGAACCAACTTGCCCTTCATAAATGCCTGCTGAATTGTTCATTACCTGCAGCCAGATATAATGGCTTGAGTTTAATATCTAGCCAGAAAAGTCAGTAATTGGCAGGAAAGGACTTGATTTGATTTAGGTTATTAAAAACTGGCCAAGAAAAGTATAGTTTGTCTTGATCTGGTTGCTGCTTGTAAGGGAAAATTTTTCTGTCTGAGGCATGCAGATTTGCTCCCGTTCCCATGTGAATCTCAGCAGTTCTCCACCAGAGTGCCAAGGTTTCTGGTTCAGAAAAAGAAAAGCTCATGGTTTCTTTTTTAAAAAACTACTGAACTCCATTGCCCAGCCTGAAGCAACCTTTCAACTTCAAAGCCTGAGGGACCATCCCTGTAGCTACCTGGGGTTTCCATTAGAGCTGAGCAGGAAGCAGATGAGGCCATCAGAGTGTTTTGAAGACCAGATGTAAAATCACTGTCATTTCTTAAGGAAAAGGCAGTTTAATGGGTGCTGTTGTTCAATGACAGGCATGCCGCAAGTTTCGGGACGATGCTACGTGCAAGGATACATGTCCCCCATTGGTCCTGTATAACCCCACCACTTACCAGATGGATGTGAACCCTGAAGGAAAATATAGCTTTGGAGCCACTTGTGTGAAGGAATGTCCACGTAAGTTCATTTTAGGTTGCAGCCCCAGAAGAGGTGGGGAATTGTAGAAAAGAGGGAAGGGTCCTATGTCATCCCTCTGAGTTGTGGTCAGGTGAAAGAGCACTTGTTCTCTTCAGTTTCTATGGGAACTGAGAACAGGTGACAAAGTGAGCCTCTTGAAACAGTCTGCATCCATCACCTTGCCTGGTTTTTAGTCTTTGCATTTTGACTTCTGAAAATTTTTCTCTTGGTGAAGAGAAAGGCATCTTCTAAAAAACATTAAACAATGGCTATATGGGATCAATGCTATGGTTTACCAAAGCATTATCAACTCTTAACTGGTTCTCAATTAGGACTGTTAAAAAGTAATTGATTTTAAGACTCTATCTCAAGGCCTGTGATCATTGTTTTCTCTACAGATGCTTGCTTTTCCTTTCTTGCTGTTCCATTTCTGTATTTTTTTAATCCACCAAGACATGGATGTTGATTTATCCTTCTGTGACCATTCCCCTCCCTTTAAAATGGTGATAGCACTGTATGTTCATCTACCTTCAAATGATGTTTGTGACAATGGCTATACTTTCCTGAATGTACCAAAAGCTCAAAGCCCTTTTTTCTTACAAGTCTTGAGGTGCTTGTCTGGACCTCAAAGCATTCCTCTTGTATTTTCAGTCATCTTTCAGTCATCCCTCTTGTATTTTCAGTCACCTAAGTCATTGTCCTTTTTTTTCCCCAGACAACTACGTGGTGACAGACCACGGTTCCTGCGTTCGTTCGTGCAACGCTGATACTTACGAAGTGGAAGAAAATGGTGTTCGGAAGTGTAAAAAGTGTGATGGGCTATGCAGCAAAGGTATAAAAAGCATGGAATAACCCAGTGAGGCTTTGGGATGATAGAGAACTTACTAGGAAAAGTGCAGGGAATTCTGATCTTAGTTAAGTGAAAATTCAATGTAAATCAGATCCAGCAATAGTTTGGAGATCTGACAAGTGGCTTGATCAGGAAGCATGACTGTGGAGCATGTTGTCCAGGTGGGATACACCACAAGTACAGTGGATAAACTGTGTGCATGTATATCTTGCAGTCAGCCTTCTCCTCCATTTGTCCTTCCCAGTGTCTCATCAAGGGGAATGGAAATAGGACAAAGAAGGGCCAAAGCCTGTGTGCGAAGATGCTCAGACCAGAGCTGCACGGCTGGGCAAGCAGGAAGTAGTTATCCTGTGGCACTTTCTGAAAATCAAAAATTGGCAAAAGATCTGTGAACTCATCTAAGAGTGATAGGTTTGGCCATACAGGAATTCTTTCTGAACTTGTGGCACCTCCATGTTTCTATCCTGCCTTGTGACTGGGCTTCACTTTTGTCCCCCCTAACTTCTGTATCTCTCCTTTAACAGTGTGCAATGGCATCGGAATAGGTGAACTTAAAGGGATCCTCTCCATAAATGCCACAAATATTGACTCCTTCAAAAACTGTACCAAGATCAATGGGGATGTCAGCATTCTCCCAGTTGCATTTCTAGGGTGAGTTACCTGCTGGACATCAAGCACTGAAAGAAAAAGGCTAGAGACAATCCAGGCTAAGCTGTTCTTTTCACAATTTCTCTGTTCGTTTCAGTGATGCCTTCACGAAAACCCTACCTTTGGATCCCAAGAAATTGGATGTCTTCAAAACAGTCAAAGAAATATCAGGTTAGCAATGAATTTAAGCTGAGGTGGTTTTTTGACTGATACTGCCAGAAACACAAATGGGGGGAGGAGGAAAATTTTTTAAGCACATGAAGGGAAGTGCATGCAAAGTGTTTCTTGTCTGTGAGCTAACAAGGGTCACTCTTAACCAAGGTGGTCAGCAGCACATTGCCAGCATTACGCCCACATAACCCATACTGGTCTTTCATCCAAGGTGTGTGGTTTGGCCAGAACATCTCTTCTGCTGAACTGTCAGCCCTAGAGAAGAGTAAAAGCAGTGGAGATCCTCAGCCACCCAAGAAGCATGTGGTGATGCAGAGGCGTGCCACTCCAGCTAAAAAAAGCCCAGTGTGTTTCTATTTGTGGAAAACCTTTCAGCAGCTCCTTAGGGAGGTGTGCTCAGTGGCTTGCATCATCCTTTTGGAGACACCCTCTCCAGCCTGATGAGCTCTTCCTTGGGGTAAATGTGTCTCCATGAGCACAAAGCAGCCAGTGGAGCACTCAGCCACCGTCTTGCACCAAGTATCAATTAAAAGTAATTGCGTTCAGCCCATTATGAAATGAATGTAACATCAGGGCTGGGTCTACAGACATGACTCCAGTTCTCCTGTTCTTGCTCTCTCACTGTGTGGTTCCCTTCAGGAAAACTTCAGAGTTTCATACAGCAGCCTGAAATTTTCCAAATTTTCCCCTTCCTCCCAAACACCTCAGCTGAGTAGGGAATTCTGCTTGCCTCAGAAAATCCACTACAAGTAGCTATTCTGCTCTGTTCCTGCTTTTCAGTTTTTCTCTTCCCTGAGGTTGACTGAAAAAAGGATGGAGTGCTGTCTTTCTCCCACAGATTGAGTCTGCAGCCTCTCACCAGGGTACCTACTGGCAAGAGCCTTTGTTGCTGGTGACTCGGTGTGGCAGGATGTGTGGTTCAACAACATGCTCTGTTGTGCTCCTAAGCCCTCACAGTGGGCTGAGAAGTAAACTGTTTATAAAACAGGGTTTAAAACTATCTCCTTGCTCCCTAAAATGTCGTGTTAGACTCTGATATCCTTCAGATAAGCATAGGGAAAGTACAAGTGCCTTCTCCCAGTGCAGGATTTGCTACAGGAGAAGGCTCTGCTGCCAGCAGTAACAGTGAGTTTATTTCTTTTTTTTTTTTTTTTTTTTTTTTTTTTTTTAAATCTTCTTTTCCTCTTGCAGGATTTTTGTTGATTCAAGCCTGGCCTGAGAATGCTACTGATCTCTATGCTTTTGAAAATCTGGAGATTATACGAGGCAGAACAAAGCAACAGTAAGTAAATCATGTGCCACAGCCACTCTGAGAAACCCTGTTTTGAGCTGCTCTTGTCTGAGCACACCAAGGTTGCAAGCAGTGTGAGACTCAGGTGTCCCAAAACTGATGCAAAATGGGGCAAACCCTGCAAGGAGTAGATCACCATCTCTGTAGCATAGATAATGTGCCCTGGGAGTAAAGACCCTCAGCTCTGTGCCATGTATGGAGGGCTGTCCTGAGCCTACTTTCAGAACCAGGGCTTCACCCACCATCCTGGAAGCACAAGCAGGACAGAAAGCTCTCTTTACAGTCTGGGGTAAGTCAAAATGTGGTCAGAAGCACTGTGGGATTTGAGGTAGCTGGGCAGTCATGGATGGAGGCTGCCAAGCAGTGCCGACATCAGCAATGCTTCCAAGTGCCCTCCTAAGCTTGCCCTAGGTGGAAGAGTGACTTGGTGGACAAGCACAAAATAATAGCTGCTTTACCTACAACAATTGTTCCACATCATTTAATTGTCAGAACATGTGTGTCCTGACAGTTTTAGTGTAAAAAACCCCTTGCAAAACCAGATGTGAGTATTGCAGTTGTTACGTAATAGGCATGACACATACATGGCATTAAGTTTAGAAGGCTGAGCAGAACCTTGCTTGAAGAAAATGCAGTTCACAGCAGGATGCATTTGACAACTAAAATAAAAACATGCTAAGTAAATCCTGCTTACCTTTCTTGCATGTTTTTTTTCTATTCATCTCTCTCCATTTTAGTGGCCAGTATTCCCTTGCCGTTGTTAACTTGAAAATACAGTCCCTAGGGCTGCGCTCCCTCAAGGAAATAAGTGATGGAGATGTTGCCATTATGAGGAACAAGAACCTCTGCTATGCTGACACCATGGACTGGAACAGCCTGTTTGCAACTGAGAGCCAGAAAACAAAGATTTTACAGAATAGAGATAAAAATGAGTGTGGTAAGTGAGTGCTGCATTCCTGCTCACCATCAAAGCTCATGCTGAAATGCAAGAGTAAGCTTGCGTTTTCATGATTCAAGCAAGGCTTTTTTCTCCATATTCCTCTAGCTAAAAAATTCAACAGTGATACTGCTTTAATGAAAGTGGTGTGGGAAGAGCGGGATTTTTTTTCCTACCAAAATGTGGACTTTGTGGTGTCCAGCAAATTAGGAGATTCTTCACTACAATGAATGTAGTGAAGCCACGTCACTTGAAGGACACAAAAGCTAACTCCTAAACCTGGCCTTTTTTAACAAGGTTGAAGCTGTTGTTCAGCCATTCTGCTGTTGACTGCAGTGGTCCCTGAGCCAAAATCTAATTATTTCTTTTTGTAGAATATGAATTTGTTGTATTTTAGAAATTTATCATAGAAACACAGAATGGTTTGGGTGAGAAGGGACCTTTAAAGGTCATGTAGGCCAACCTCCCCTGCTGTGGGCAGCGATGTCTTTCACTAGACCAGGTTGCTCAGGGCCCATCCAATCTGACCCTGAATTTTGAGGGATTAGGCATCCACCAATTCCCTATGAAACTCATGCCAGTGTCTCACCACCCATTGTAACTATCTCTTCATTGTATCCATAAATCTATCTACTCTTTTCATTCAAAAGCATTTCTCTGTGTCCTGTCACTACAGGCCTTGTTAAAAAGTTGTTGTAAGTGTCCATCAAGTACAAAAAAGCCCCAATAATGTTTCTCCAGAGCTGTCTCTTCACCTGGGTGGACATCCCCAGCTTCCTCAGCCTGATTTAACTTTATCATACATATGTTAAGCTGTCACAGAGGAGATCATTCTTATTCTGAATGGCCAGATGTCACTCAGTTTCAGGCTTTGGGATTTAAAGAAGCATGATTATTCCTCTTCCACTCTACCAGAACCATTCATATCTGTTTTGGAACAGGTTGGAGAAGCCAGTTGGTCAGATGGAGTGAGAACAGAGTTTGACCTCTCTCTTGCTTTGACATTCATGTCTTTTCTTGTCCCTCTTTGTCTCTCAGCTGCTGCCAAGCATGTTTGTGACCCCCTGTGCTCAGACGTAGGCTGCTGGGGCCCAGGGCCCTTCCACTGCTTCTCCTGCAGGTTTTTTGATCGTCAGAAGGAATGTGTGAAACAGTGCAACATCCTGCAAGGGTAAGGTGTCTCAGGGGTGCTTTAGGTTTTGGTGATGGTATGGGGGCTTTGGTTTTTAAAATGTGTTGTAGCTAGAAAGAAAGCAAGAAGCTGGGTCTCTGGTTGCATGGGATTGCCCCAGCTTGCAGAGATGTGGTGTGAACACAGTACCTAGCTAAGGTACCTCTCCTTCCATATTCAGTGTGCCTTAGGAATTTGCTCCTGACATGGTGACTGCTAAGAAAACATCCCCTTGAGCCCACAAGGAGACTATCTGGAGGCCCAAGGAGACCTTGGGCTTCCTTCCCATAAGAAAGAAAGGAGCTTAAAGCCCAGTCTGTGACTGTCATGTCAAGTACACCAGGTGAGAGCCAAGAGCCATTTCGAGTCTCAGGGAGCTCAGTCATCCCCAGAGTCAGGGCTTCACTGCTTGGTAGACTTCCTTCCTCCTATATTTGCTCAGATGAGCAGCTCACCCTTGCACTTTGAGAAGTTGCAGTCAAGGGAGAATGAACTTTCATTTGAAAATGACTGAGAGCAGCAATTTCAGACAAAATTATTGTCTCAGCCTCACTTAGGACATGGAAAAAGCTGCCTTGTGTGTCAGTTCAGCAGGTGATGTAGGTGGAAAAGGCATGTCTAGCAGCAAAATTACAAAGTCTGACTTTTAAAGCTCCTGAGTATTAAGAAAGTACTTGTCAGGGTGCTAATGCCTCTGATGTTTGTATTTCTCTAGTGGCTTGCAGTTTAGCAGCTGTCTTTTTTTTTTTAAAGCTCTAGCAGCTATTATAACCTGAAGGGCAGATCAGGTCATTATTTTGTGTCAAATGATGGGTAGATTTAGTTTAATTAATAACACCATTACTTGAAGTGGAACAGCTTTATTGCTATTAAAACCATCTGTTCTCAACTTTCATATTTTAATGATTCATTGTGTGTTGTAGGGAAGACATGAATTTAATTATCAGTGCCTTGCTGTTTAACTTTCCTAATTATTATTTGTAGCCTTGTAATCACTTGAACTGTTTTTGCTGATCTCTTGCATTACTACCATTTAAAAGCCTCTAGAAATGGTTGTGAGTATTCTGAGACAATAGCTTAAAAGGGAAAGTAAATTCGTTTGTAGTGTTCAATCTGGAGTGTCATGTGTTTCACTGTCAACCAAATTTCCCTTTCTCTTATGTCCTCCTGTTTGTACTGAGCAAGTGCTACTGGTGTAGCCAAGAGGGTCCCTCCTCCTGTCTCAGTACCATCATCATCTCAGTCGAATGTGGAAAAGTCTGGAGAAGGAGAGAAGATCACAATTTATCACTTACTATTATTTCTGAGGTTTAATTATTTCTTTGTTGTTGTTGTTGTTGCTGTTTTCCAGGGAGCCAAGAGAGTTTGAAAAGGACTCCAAGTGCCTCCCCTGCCACCCTGAGTGCCTGGTGCAAAACTCCACCATGTACAATGCAACCTGCACTGGACCTGTAAGAGCAGATTCTTCTTAGCAAACCTGAGCCTCAGACCATGTATTAATATGTATTTCCCATGTTCAGATAATCCTGAGGTCTCATTTTAACCCTGTTTGAGGTGAAGCAGAGATTGGGGGTGGTTAGAAATCAAGATCATGGGGCAAGGTAGCAGGATAGGAAACCTCAGGGTGTTAGTTTTATTTTCTGACATGTAATCCACAGTCACAGACATTGTAGAGTCCTTAATATTTTTTAAATATTAAAATTTGTATTTTAAAAAAATACTTCCTTTGGCAAATATGGCAAAAGTTTGAGTAACATATAACCACTCAACTTCCAAGTTGATATGAGCACATTGGATCAAACTCAGATCTTAATTGCAATAGTCCAGTTATCTCTATTTTTTTTTTTTTTGAGATCGAATCTCTTGCTTCCATCACAGGTCCACCTCTGTGTTATTTAACCCAGCTCTTTAAACACCTTTGCCACCGCCCACAGCCTCTGAGTGTTTGACCCTTGCTCATTGTTGTGGTTTAGGAATGGTACACCCCAATTTAGTAGTCCCACTGAGACTCTCCAAACGACAATCCACTCCATCACTCCCTCCCCCTCCTTCCCCTGTGGCAGGCTGGAGAGGAGAATTGGAGGCATAAGAGGGGAAAATCATGGATTGAGATAAGAGCAATTTACTGGAGTTTCCAGTAATGAGATAAGAAAGGGAGCAGTAACAGCAACAACATTAGTAACAGTGTGCAAGAAAGGTGAAGGATTCTCATGTAATTGCTCACAACCAGCATTACCCCACTGCTCCCTCTACCATGCTTGCTCAACTAGAAGGAACACCTTCTCCCCAGAGGAAACTCCTTCTCCCTGCCCCTTGGGGAAGAAGGTATACATGAAGAGGTATAAAATAACCCCCATGTCCTAGCCATGCCCCTCCTGGCTACTGCAAAAATTAACCCTGTCCTGTCAAGAACAAGGACAACAATCATCAGTTTGAAGAGTCACTGCTCAGTAATGTGAAGCATTTCCATCCTCCCTCCTAGCACCATGGCCTCAAGGATGTTATTTACATTATAAACTCCTTCAGGCAGTGACCTCCTGTTCCATATTTGCCTAGCATCTAGTAATCAGTCTATTATAGTGGCCCTTAGACATTGCAGTGATTAAAATAATCTTCCTGTAGCGTGTCTTACTTTTGTCCCACTGCAACCAGCACTGTGGATCTGGTCTGGTTTTCCTCCACAGTAGAATTTGACCCACAATTGCTGGTTCCCCTGCTTTAAAATATTTAGGTCATTCATGATGCTGTTACAGTCTCAATAAAAACAGTTCTGTCAAAAATAGCCAACGGCAATACCTTTAAATACAAATGAAGTTCTTTTCGAAGTGGGAAGAAAAATGCATGGACTCCTTGGTTTGCCTTCATCATCCTATGCTTCTTCCTAATAGAGGAAAGAGCCTGTGCTGAGAAACCAGAAAAATAATAGTTTGATTCCAGTATTTCAGGGAGGTATCAGGAGGTCTATATCCACAATTTAAATTATGTGACAGTATATTGCAGGTAGCAACCAAGCTATCTGCTTTTCAGCTAACCCCTTATCAAGGTGTCATTAAATTCTTTCCCATTTAAAATGCAAAACACAAGTTTTCCAATGATACAAAAGGCAGAGGAGGAAAAGAAGCAACATGGAAATGCAAGAAAATATTAGCTTTAAGCAGGAGGAACTGTCTTTTGTATGGTCCATCCTGCAAGAGCAATTGCTTCCAAGAATATCAGGTAGCAAGGTAATAAACGCAGATAATGCTGAAAACTTCCAGCTGTAAAAGGCGTTTAGATTTATCTTCTGAATTTCCTCCTGAATAGGGTGATGTAAGGGCATTGCAAACAAGTTGTTTCTCTCTGCAGGGCCCTGACAATTGCATGAAGTGTGCCCATTTTATAGATGGTCCCCACTGTGTGAAATCCTGCCCAGCAGGGGTTCTGGGTGAGAATGACACCCTCGTCTGGAAATATGCTGATGGGAATAATGTTTGCCAGCTCTGCCATCCAAACTGTACCCGGGGGTAAGTAAAACCTGGGACTGAAGGGTGACAGGGAAGAAAAGAAACAGAGAAACAGCTTGTCTTGAGCTCCTTCTCCTCCTGATGGTCCCATGTCAAACCACTGAGAGCTAGCATGGAGCAAGAGAGGTCAGGAAGGCATAGTTAACGTAAGCAGAGTGTGGCAAACTTTGTAAGTAGGAAAAGGTCAGTGGTACTTTGTCTTTATGCAGAAGGAAAGAAAAAAATAGTTTAAGGGATTTGAAACAGGCTTGCTTGGTAACTTGAAAGAATTTTACAGGACACATCCACCAGTGATGCACCCTTTTTTCCCCATCTGTCTTGTTGCTGTGTCCTCTGGTTTTGAGAGGAACATCAGTGACATCTGCTGGATATTGGGTTCCCGGGGCCCATTTTTCTGTACACCTTTCAACTTTCAGGAGAGAAATCTTAGTGGGGTAACACAGTGATCTTCTGTTTTTTCCTTCTTTCCATACACTAGCACTTGGTCTGAGTTTAAAGCCTTGTGAGTGTGGCTTTTTTAACAGGCATCACAGTAAATCCATTCTATATGAGCCATGTTTTCCTCACTTGGGGACACGCTTAAACTGCAACCTGTAACAAGGTGTGAATTGATCTCTTTAACCTACATCACAAGTAGTAATGGTCTCTCCTCCTGATTTCCAACCTACAAAAGACATGGGATGCACAGGAAAAGGTTTTAGGGTTTGAGAGCTGGTTATTGGACTGTGATGCTTTCAGAGCAAAAAGCTCTGAAATGCTTGGTGTATTTTCCTTCACAGGCCTCTGCTTTTTACTCTGCAAGTCTGTCTGATCCAAAATCCTTCTATAATATGCCTGTAATTAGTGTTGCAAGAGAGGAGTTGTAACATACTCAGACCAATCATCACATTGTATATTAGCTAACCCAATTGCCAGTTTCCCACCTTCATGGGAAAAAGGAGATGAAGGGTGGAATCTGCTAGTAACAGCCCTTTCTACTGCTCATAGTGAAATTCAGTGCAATGGATTTCAGACAGTAGTTATACCAGCTTGCTGGATTTACCAGGATTTACAGCGATGCCCTCTGCTTTTTCTATAGTCACAGACAAGGCTTATCAGGGCTTCCCACTGCAAGTCCAGGAAGAAATTTTCTCAGTTGAAAAGGGATCATAATAAGGTTGCTCTTTATTAATTACTTCAGTAGTCCCTACTGGCCACAGTGGTCCAATATCCTCCTTCTACCCTCCATGGCCACATGGAAATGCAGCTGATTAGTGGAATAGTGTAATGAGTAACCACATCTGAACAAGGCTTTTTTTTTCACTGTGCAGCCTCAGTAGTGAGATCAAACACTAGACTCCATTGCAGATTTGGAGAACATAATTTGCCAGGCAGGGATGTAAAAGAAGCCACACAGTGACTCTTAGTGCACAAGCAAGTTCCCCAAGCAGAATTGATTAGAGAAGTCAATTCCTGCCTTGCTTTAACAGTGGATGGGGGAACCATAAGAGTCAGGCAGGAGGTGAGGTTACAGTAAGGAGATTTTTTTTAACATGATGATTACCAACATATGCCTCAGTGTATTTGGCCCTGTGTTATCAAGGCAGAACATAAAAAGTAGTATTAATTTCATCTTTCACATGAAAGAGCTGGGCTGAGTTTGCATCAGTTAGATTGTGAACATGCTCAATAGCCCAATTCAAATTGATGCCCAAATGTGGCAGATGAAATAGGCTGTGTCCCTGAAGGGCTCAAGAGAGCTAGAAGGAGGTAGTGTTGCAGTATTTGCTATACAGATGAGACATCTGTGGCCATGGATGAGTAGGGAGCCATTGTCAGTGTTATAATATGGGAACATGCAGTCAGGCACAGCATTGTCCCTCTGAAGGCAATCCATCAGCAGTGCCATTTCTCTTCACGCCTTTCCCTCATTTTGCTGTGGGAATGGGAATGTTCAGCAGTGGGTGGAAAACATCTGTCTCACAAAGTTTTTGCATCCTTAAAAACCACAGTCTCAGCGATTCCTGCATGACAAGAAACAACTTCATTTCTGTCCCTGTCCAATTTCACGGCTAGAGCCCACAAAATCTTATCAGCATGATTAAGTGTGCTGACTTCAGTAGTCATGCAAGCAAGGGTTCCCAGGATCTCTCTCTGTTTTCCTTATTTGAAGAAGCTTCAAGTAAAAGACTTCTCTTCCCAGCTGAGTTTTGTCACAAATTTCATTTTTTTGCTTTAGGTATGCATACTGGTCATACATTGCTTCTTTTGCAATGCCATGAAGAATCTCTTTGAGTCTCATTTTCTTTGCTGAATCCATTTTTCAGCCTTCATTAGTAAATAGAATGAAGGATGTTTTCTCCTGCTTAGCCCAAAAGACCCCTTCTCTCCCAATTCTCCTGTATTTTCTTGGGGATTTTGTACACAAGCTTCATTTTTCCCTGCCTCTAGGTACAGCTGAGAATTACATGCTATGCTAAAGAAAGCAACATCTCAAAATCCCTGGAATTAACCCATATGTTCATCAATTAAAGACACTCACCATCCTAATTAATCTGGTCAGTGTTGTAGGATTTGATTTTCCCTTGCCAGCCTCACAGAGTACAGGAAATAAACTCAGACGTCGCCACTGGAGTGGATAATCAAGGAGAAGAAGCCACCACTGTAGCCAATACCACTGGCTTGCACATCCTGCCTCCATCCACAGTTGCTATCAACACTCTGTGTCTCACCAGCGTTCATTTTAAATACTAAGGGATTTTTGGAGATCAGGAAGTGGCCAGGGGATCTGAAAGGGAAGGCTGCAGAAGCACAGCACAAATTTTTTGCTTTTGTCACTCTTGGAAGGTTACTTAGAAAGAAAGGACACGGTAAAATTTTTGTAAAGTTTAAAAATATAAAAAAATTATTTTCCATTTCTTTTGTGATTGTAAAGTAACTTAGGCTGTTATAGTGTGAGTCCCCTCTAAAAGGTTCATCAATCATGACAACCTGGCTGTATTATATCAAATTAGGAATTATAGGTGGGGGAAAAAAAGTTGTTAAAATTTTGGTGGATTTAGGAAATAAATTGCTGTGTCTGCACTGGGACAAGTAATATTTACATAGATGGGTAAAATGTAGTTCAAGATAAAGTAGTTTTCAGGAGCTGTACACAGAACTAATTTTGCAATAACTAGAGAAATATATCAAAGACTACAACTGCTGTTATACTCATCTAATATATCCATAAGATCTTGAGTTACTGCATAACTTAAGGTCACATTTATCATTTTGGTTTCTGTAAGCAGAATAAAAAATACTCAGGAATGGAAAACATGATTGTTTAGGTTCCATAAAATCTGGGTTACTTATGTAGGGTGTCATCATAAAATTCCACATTAAGAAAGATAGTTATATATAGTCCTGGAGGGATAATTCTTATGGGCTTTGTTTCTTCTCTGACTTGTGAAATTAATCAGAAAACCAAGTGGGATTTGAAAAGCACAAGTTGATCTCTCTATTTCTTCCCAAACACCTTTTTACTTTATTCTGCAAGACTTGATATTGATGGATTTGTGGGGGAAAAGGAAGGGAACTGATAAAAATCTACAGTTCTCCTGCTTCTACTTTGATGTGTAAGAGAAGAACTCGTCAGTCATTCCTCAGACTCTAGCTACAATCCCCTCAGCCAGTTTTGTTTGCTGTTAGGAAGCACATAGAGAGCTTGCCATCTTAAAGTGGCATGGCAAACCAGAATTTTGAGAAAGAGGTACTTTGAGGGACAGTAATCATATTCTGAAATTAGGTCAGGTCTTCTAATTTCACATTCTTACCAAGACCAGCTGCACATGTTTTGTTGTATTAGAAATTCATATCTGGGAGGTAGACCATGACTGGTTGAGGTCTGGAGTACTAGGTCAGTTTTCCACTGAGCACCTGAAGAGAGAAGCCCGAGGCAAGATCTGCCTCCCCTGATGATAAGGAAGCTGGTGGCTCTGTTTTGCACCTGCAGCCTCTCTGTGCTTAGTTACACAACTGAGCAAACAAAACAAACTGTATGCTGGTAGGAAAGCTAACAAGGCTTTCAGGAATTGGTATGCACAGCACTTCCAGCATGTTCAGGACCCTAGGATGCACATTCTTGTATGGGAGCCCAGTGAACTTACAAGACCTTCAAGATGCTGGGTCTTGGAGCACTGTGTTGGCCCGTAAACAGGACAAATACATAGGGAAAGATCCGAGTAATGAAAACAAACAAACTAACTAAAACCCAATAAAAAGAGTAGTTGCTTCACCTCTTCCTTCCCCAGACCTAGTCCTAGTTACAAGAGAAGATCTGCAACTCTACCTGGCATTTTGAAATGTTTTTGGTTCTTCCTGTCAGTGAGAGGGATTCCAGAGCAGTTTTCCTGGCATGGGCTCACTCCTTACCCCCTACTTGACCTCCTCTGGAATTGTTTTTAGATGATCCAGTTTCTTTAAGTCAGCACAGGGAGCGGATACCACAAACTGGACTTTACTCCTTTCCTGTGCTCTGTTTTCTAGAGGTGATGTCACCCTCTCAGTCATGCTCTCCTTCCTCAGTAGACACCACAAAGACCACAATTCCCATGAAGTGCATACATCTTATAGCCCAGCAGCACTTGGGAATGCTGTGCCTCTCACACTCATTAGACCATCAAGTGAACGCAGTCACTGTTTTCATCTGTGTTTTTTTTTGCACTGCGCTGCCAAAATTTTAGCATTTTAAACTCAAATGGAGGGTGAATGATTTGCTAGTCGTTCCTGGCTCTCTGGATAACAATTGTACCTGTTTACATTACCAGTAACATAAGACTTTGGATTCTAAAGGAAAAATACCATGTACACGTGCCAGCAAACTGTAACCTGAGAGAGTGCTGTCAAGTCCCATTTTTTGATGGAAGTCCATGTATCTGCTACCCAATTTTTTATTTGAAATAGAAAGTTTGGAAATTGAAATCTTTACCTTATCATGAAACAAGGATTATGCAGGAGGGTCTGCAATGACATGTTTCCACATGTATTCTGTCTGTATAGGAGGAGGAGGCTACTTCTGTCCTCCTCCACAGTCAGCCTTGGGCACAGAGATAGGAAATCCGTGAATTTTGTGAATCTGTGTCCTCCCCCACTTCTACCACATGCTAAAAATTCTTTTAAAACATTCTTTAAACTAAATGTGCAGCATAGCTATTTCTCTAGACAAAAGATTTTGGAGCAAGGTTGTCGACTGATATTTAATGGAATGTATGAGTATATTAATTCCCATGTTAACACTAGGACTGCTCTGAAACTTTCAAATAAGTAGCACTCTTCTTAGTTGGATTTACAGAAGTATGTAGGCCAGAGCTACTATGTTTGTAACATTCATTTGTTTTTACAGGTGCAAGGGGCCGGGTCTTGAAGGCTGTCCAAATGGGTGAGTATTTCATCTGCTACAATTAATGGCAGAGCTGGAAAGAATGTGTGTGTGTGTGTGTGTGTGTGTGTGTGTGTGTGTGTGTGTGTGTGTTTACATTTCCACACTGGACACTGCAAGGCTGGGACTAGAGTCTTCAGGTGTGTACAGGGAAGTGACAGATTAGAGCAGGCTCAGAGCTATAAAAATGGCTTAAATAACTGAGAAATATTGCTACTGGCACAATTCTTCAAAATGGTGTTCTGCCTATAATTTTTGTCAAGGTGATACCAGGGATCTGTTACTAAAGAATAAAAGGAGGGGATGGAAAAAGAAAGGATTAAGGGCAGAGAGAAATATGTTTAGGACTGATATAGTTAATTGTGTTACAGGAGACTCAGAGATGCAGAGGGTCTTTTCCAGCCCTGTGATCTGCACATCTCCAAATACTGTGTGCCCAGATGGATTCTCATTTGTCGCACTCAGACTAGATCTTGTATCACACTGTTTGGCTTCATGATGTGCTCGAGGTCATGCAACAAACAGTCTTCTCTGACTGAGAGAGAGGGATTTAGTTTCTGGCCACAACGTCATGCTATGGCAAGATAAATTCAGTCTATAAGTATTGTTAAAAAGTGACTGCATTTAATAGTAATTCCTGGGGCAACTTAAAAAAATGCTGGGAAGAATCTCTTAAGTGCTTACCAAAAAACAACCTTGGAAAACAGGTTTTTCTTCTCAACTTAAATTTGCAATTACTCAGGCACTAATAAAGAGGCAGCAATCTGTGTGTACAGTGGGAATGGGATGCAATACCTGGTTTCAGACATTTGTGCTTGTAAAGAAGACAGATGATCTGACATTCACTTAGAGCATGCTCCCCCCAATAATTCCCACTGTACATATTCAGCTGCATTGCTGGTATCACAGCTGTCTGTGCCTTTCTGAGAGGCCTTCTCTCCACATGCTTCGTGTCTCTGATCACACATGGGCTGCCCACAGCTGGCACACCTAGGGATGCTCACACACTTGGTGGGTTTGTTGGAAGGAGGAGAAATCCCTCACTTAAGCTATGAGGATCAGTTCCCATTGTGACTTTGGGGGAAGAATGAAGACTTGTAGTTCATGCCCAGATGGTAATTAAGCATCACTTTGAACAGATTACTGGATGAGGGACTTTAAAAATGCAGGTGCCCAAGCAATCTGACATGTCAGATAGGCTTATGTGTGTGTCCAGAGTCTGTGTTTGATCGAAACATAAGGCTCCCTGCGACATCTGTAGGGCTTCTTTAAAATCTAACACCTAAGATCCTTCTCCTCTTTCTGCACCCGCTCCTGTGCTGCAGCTCCAAGATCCCGTCTATCGCAGCCGGTGTTGTCGGAGGGCTCCTGTGCCTGGTGGTGGTGGGGCTGGGCATTGGCCTGTACCTGCGGCGGCGCCACATCGTCAGGAAGCGCACCCTGCGCCGGCTGCTGCAGGAGAGGGAGGTGAGCACTGCCTGCTCCCGGCCTCGGCTGGGCCCCTGGGTGTCCTCCGCCTCGTGCCAGAGGGTTAGAGCACCCTGCGTCTGTGCCCTGCATCCTTGTAACTCAGCAATCCCTCGGGATGAGAAACGAGGCGGTTGCCACGCTACTCAGGAAAGCAGCGGCATGCACCCAACACCTTCGCAATCTCAAATCTGATCTCTCTGCATGTAATTCGTGAAATGTTTAAGGGATTTGGATGTCTCGATCCCAAGGAAAGCCATTGAGATTGTCTACTCAGAAAAAACTCCACATTCAGGTTGAGGTGCAATGTGTTTGCTGGTCCTTACTACCTTCCTGTGTAGACCTCCAGCCTCAAATCGTGTGTCCCTCCAGACAAGCCTTGAGGCTGCTCTGGCAGCTTGGCGTGCTTTTGAAAATTTTACCCCCTTGATCAGGTGCGTGCCTGATCCTGTGGAAAAACAGGAGAGGAGGGAAAGGAATTGAGGAAGTATTTGTGTCTTGTCTTTGGTTTGTTTTGAGCACAAAAAGCCCACAAAGCCTTCAAAGTGAAGGGTTCACCCTGTTGGTTATGAACAAGGTTTCTGCACTGCTTTTTTGTTCTTTGCATAGCTTTGCGTGCATTACAGCATCACCCTCTGGATACCTCATACACAGTAAAATTCCTAATCCTGGGCGGAAGCTGCTCCTGTGTGGTTAGCCCCTTCTCTTTCTCTGGTTCTAGTAAATTAGCCAAATGTTTTTAACATTCTGCTAAAATCCCGATTGCAGCTTCTTTCTCTACTTGCCAGCTTTGCAGAGTCAGTTGCTAATATTCTTAAAAAAAAAAAAAAAAGTAAAAGACAAGCTGGCTTGTTTTTCATTGCACTGTGAAACTATATTTTACGTACTACCGTATTCTGCAGTTGTGATAGTAGAGTTCAGTTTGTGCTCAGTTCATATTGTATCCTCTGGACTCCTCAAAATGAGGATATTTCATCACAACAGAGAGGCTGCTGGTCCTCTAAAATCAGATTGAATCTAGCTAAATATGGTTTTATTTGAAGAAAAAGCAAAAGGAAAAACACTAAGGAAAAAGCTGACTTATGCATCATAAAAGCATTAAATATATTTGGAGGGCACTACTACTGTTTGCAATAAGGTTGAGATAATATTTTGAAAAAAAATCAATAGGCAATTCAACATCCTTTTTTGTTTGAGTAAAGAATCACTTTCAGAGTTTCAATTGCTGCTTGTATAACACATGATTTGGGGGAACAACTAGTACCATGGGAATTTTGTCCTGTTAAACAAGAGCAGACATGAAAGAGTGCAGGTGATTCTTTCCCATTATTTTAAACATTTTAATAATTTATTCACAAGTTCAAAACAAAAATAATCTCCTTTAGCATCTGTGGTAATTATATTCTTTTTCATGCCATGTGTTTCAAGGCTTTGAAGTCATAGCCTCCATTTGAGAAGAGGCATTCCTTCATTCTCCTTCAAAATGGCAGTTGCCACTCTGTGCTTGATTTTTGGAGCAGAAAGCACCACTTTGAACAGATTAGTGGATGAGGGACCTAAAAATACAGGTGCAGGTATTTATTGGAGCAGGTATTTATTCCTACAAGTCAGAGCAGAGCTATCCTCCTGAAAACTCCACATGGAATCAAATGTTGATCATTTTAAAGGAAGGATTTATTTGCTTCCCCAAAGTGTTCAACTTTCCAGACCGTGTAACCATCTAACATCATCTTCTCTCTACACCAGCTTGTTGAACCACTGACACCCAGTGGGGAGGCACCAAACCAGGCTCATCTGAGAATTTTAAAGGAAACAGAATTTAAAAAGGTCAAAGTTTTAGGCTCTGGAGCTTTTGGCACTGTATATAAGGTAAGGTCATAGTTTTTCTATTCCCCTTTTCTTCCTGCTCCCTCCAGCAGAAACCACTCAAAGAAAGCAGGAACATGGAACTTTGATCATTGTGTGGATTTTTTTTTAAACTAGATTTTATAGCATGTATCTATCCATTAAAGGGTAGAGAGATTACTCAATTGTCATTAGTTTTGTTAGAAATTGGTTAACAGGAGAAGGTTTACATAAAATGTTGCTAAAGTCATACTTTGCTGAACCTGGAGAACAAAGATCTTGACTTCAAAACTACCACAGTCAAATACACCCCACTGTAAACATTAGAAGAAAAATAAACACACTCTGGTTAGTTCAGTGCAAAGCCATTTTTCTGTGTCATCTAGGATCTTATTTTGATAATTTTTAATCATTCTTTTATTAGAACTGATTCATATGTGTGAAAGTGCACACCTTCAGTTGTGTAGATTCACAAGTTATTTTTCTCTTGGTATTTGTTTATCCTCTGTGCTGCTTCATCAAGTTACACTTTTCTGTGCTACTCCTTTTATTCAGGGTATGTGTTTTAGGCTTTTTCATTAACTTTAGATTCCTGTATTTCTTTATAAAGCTCTATATTCTGAATCAGGCTTCCAGCTATGATTAGGAACTTCAGGGACACAACAAGATGTGCACCTGCACTGCTGGGGATTTCAGCAGCATCTCCTCACAGTGCCACACTATTGACCTGCCTAAATGGCCTCCTGACACTTTAGATATAGAGCACTGCACCAGTGGGGCACAGACTTCCCTACCACTGCATGTGTATGACTGGATTATTTATACAGTATAGGTGCCATCTGGTTTTAATGAGAAAATGCAAGTTATTTTCATCCCATGACTTAAAAATTGGAAGTGGCAAGGTTTTGCACATGCAGTTGCTGTGATGCTCTAATTAGTTAGATTTCCATCCACAAAAAATAGCTCTTTTTGCATCTCCTGGGCTATTTGCACAGGCATAGTAATGAACATGTTTTTTCAAGAAAGTATGGTAGAGATGACTGAAAAATAAGTACCACCCCATTAACAGGAATTTGGTAATACCCACAAGACACATTTGTTGCATGTTTTTGTTGTCTGTCATGTCTTTCCATTGCTCAGAATATTTAAGTCTACTCAGAAGATGTAAAATATATATGTAACTGTAAGAATTAACCTGTTAGGTATGAGACTGAATAATTCTTTGTACTTCTTTTTTGGTAGGGACTTTGGATCCCAGAAGGAGAAAAGGTTAAAATTCCTGTTGCTATTAAAGAGTTGAGAGAGGCTACATCACCAAAAGCCAACAAGGAAATACTTGATGTGAGTTTTCATGTTTATTTTCTCAAGTTGTCAGTGGTCTGTGGATTTTCTTCTCTAACAACTAGAGGGGTTTCAGGAATTTGTGTGGGAAGAAATATTTTGCATCCTAAACTCAATTGTCCATCTAGAAGTTCTGCACTTTGCAGTCTGTGAAGTGCTTTAGGTCTCTCATGAACTCAATTGAAATACAGATTTTATACTCGTGGGGTAATACCTAAGGAGTAGTTAGGGCCATACATTTACAACTAATTCTTTTATTTTTTTTAAGCTGATATTTCAGGCCTTAAGCTGTAGCTTTCATTGTCATTATGGTGGTACAGCTAAGCCAAATAACAGCAGACCTAATGATTTATGAATACTGTGGATTGTCATAAACTAGTTGCTTGATTAAATAGAATTAAATTAACTATAAACTCAGAATAAAATTTAAAAATTCCAGCTGTCTGATTTCTCTGCCATAGAATGCAAGAAATTATCTCACCTTATGAAAGAAGCTTGGGATTTTTATTTTATTGTTTGGTTATATAGCTTCAGAAAACAGGAGAAAAGGCTATGGGGCACTGATTTAGGAGTTCATAAATGGTTGAGTTTACAATGAGTGAGCCAAAGTCGTAAATACAAAGTTTTCTGAACCTGGAGTTTATGAAAATCTTAACTAGATCCAAAGCCATGGAACATACAGCACCAAGGATATATAAATTTGTGTACAAGGAAAGGAGACTGCTGAGTGAGGAGAAGTTCACTCAGAAGTTCAGTGTAACGTCAGATTTCCCATGCTGTGGTTCAGTCTTAAGCAACAAGAAGAGTATGTCTGTTTGTCTTTCTGTCCTGTCCCTATTACGTCCCAAATTGACCGGTTTGTCAGGAATCGATGTTGTTGTTAATCAAGCACACAGGTGCTTGATTCCCCCTTCAGCCGTGGGGAAAATTGTGGAACTTTTTTTTTCATTTTGGTAGGGACTGAATTTAGAAGGGTTTTTTATTTTAAGTCCAGTTTTGGCCAGTAAATGACACCTCAGGTAGGAAGGTTCATCTCAGATGGTTGAGGATCTTGACAAAAAGTCCATCCTTGTAGTGAGAAGTCTCAGGATAAACGCCTGTGAACAAACCACCACTTGTGCTACTGTCGATAATAAAGGTCACTGGATTTTTCAAATCACCCTGAATAAACAGTGTTATTCCAATACATTGCTCTGCTTCAACAGGTTGTGTGTTATGCACCATATGATTGATAGGTATATTGCAGCAGTGCAGAAGAATTGGTGGGCCATCTCCAAATCCATACAGGAAGCAACATCCATTTTGGTTTTAGTTTAGTTAGACTACAGACAAGTCTCAGCCCTTCCCCAGGTCCCTACCTATGTGGCCTTCATTCCTGCCCCTCATCTACCTGTGATCCTTCCCACTGGCATTCCCTGCATTGAGGAGCTAACAGAGATGCTGCTCAGCTGCCTGCCCTCAGTTCTGCCCCACAGTTTGCTCTTCACAGTGCTAAGGAGCATGACACAGTGTTCACAAAGGATGCTTTGGATTTAACTGCATTAAATTCCTGAAAGCATGTATCCTGGAGGAAGGGTTAGTCAACAAGCCTACAGTATTTCATCCTTCCTTCAGCAGATCAAGATCACTGGACAGGACAGTAGATTCAGGGACTATGTGTTCTTCAGTGGTATCAAAGTGCTTTCTCTTCTAAAAGAAATTTCTGTATCAAATCCCCACATTATCTTTTTCTTTGAATTAATATGCTTAACAAAAACATCTTGCTTTTCCAGTCCTGTTAATTTTTAGATAATTTGGTTGGTGGAACTCTGTATTTCAGAACTAAATTTCAAAAAATACAAAACTAGTTAAAGAAGCCAGAGGGATGACTCCAAAAGCACTTTTCAAAACAGATTTTTGCTACACAACCAATTTTCCAAGGTCACTGGAACCTCAAAGATAATGATGTTTAATTAAAGATTATTTGTCTTACAGAATCACACTAGGTATAAAACAAGCACAGCAGCTTTAGCTCTTAAAATCCAGGCAAGCTCTGGCTGACTATTAGGGTAGGGTTAATTTAGAAGGTTGTTGTTAAATACCAAGCATACTTGGAGCAGGTCAGAGCGCACCCAAAGAGATTTCCAAGATAAACAGTTGAAACAAAGACCCACTTTAATGTCTTGGGCTACTTAGAGGGACCCACAACCACACAATAGCTCTGTTCTGCTTTCTTCAAGGAGGAGGCAGTGGCCTATTTTCCCTTGCAGTATCAAATGGAAGAGGCAGTGTCAACACTTGGATTCTCTCCGAAGGCTGTGTGGCCCAAACGCCCACCCTGCTCCTGCGGCGTCCTGGTGCTCAGCCCCCGGTCAGCCCCGCGTGGGCAGCGTGGCAGATGGGCAGCGAGAGCAGCTCCTACTCTGCAGTCTTTCCCCCCACCCTGCCCTGCCAGAATGAATACAATACGGATCTGAATCCCAGCAGGAAGCAAGGCATCCTTCATCATTACAATGGCTCAGTTTGGAAGCATAGGGAAATGAAGTTGTTTTGGTCTCTGCTTATGTCTGAGTATTGGATAACAAATTTCCAAGAATCTCTAACAAATGATGCCACAAATATATACAAACTGAATAGCAGATTGTGTTCCTGCTTTGTCTTTCCTTGAGCTAGCCCACACAAGCAGTGCTATCCATGGCAGAGGGCTGTTTTTCAATGGTGTGCCCACATATGCAGTAGGTTGAGGAGCTCTTACTAATTCTGGTGGAGGTCCTGTTTAACCTGTCTGCCTGGAGGCCATTTTCATTCTGAGGGCTCCAAGGATACAAAATGCAGAACTAGTACCTCAAAAGAGGCTGCATTACATCATGTTTTGCTGGCCCATTAAGCAACAACACAGAGGCCAGAAAGTATTGCTTAAGAAGTGGGGTTGCTTATTTCTTGAACGTCATTACCTTAATAACTTTGCTTAATAATAGTTCTTACCAGCTGTGGAGCTATGTGACACCTGTGGAATGTTTGCTAGATGATGACTAAAGTACTATTTTTTTAAGCTTTTAGAAAGAGCAGATTTGCTCTTTCCCTTGTGCTATCCGTGTCTTCACTATGATTTTAGACTTTGGGGGACTGCTAGCCTGAATTGCCAAGAGGTGATTAGTTAGGTGTTACTCCAGATGCTGAATCAAGATGCTGACCTGCTCACTGAATGGAAAAGTTCCCATTCATTTCCCCTTGTGTTGCTTTTCAATCAAACAACTTTTAAAATATCTAAAAGTGACATGCTGAAAATCAGACAAAAAGTTAATTCAAGAAACCAAGCAACTGCAGCTCTAATTTTTTTCCCCTGGAATCCATTCTTTGAGCTGGTACTTGACCATGGATTTGAGTATAAATACAGATCTCAAATTTCAATCTATAAGTAGTTCTTGCACACAAAACCATGAGATCAGGAATTTTTACCCCATGTCCATATTAAATAATGTATTTGAACCAGCCTCTGAGGGGGTCTTTCCCTTCCCACAGAAGAACAAAAGAAGAGGAGGTATCTTGGGTGTTGTAGATAGGTACCTAAAGCTGCACAGGGTGTACTCGTATTTGAAAAAAACAGTTTTTCACATATTTATGAAACTAAACCCCAAAATTCCAGTTGACTAAAAGGTCTGTGATCCTTGGGTTCCCACATTCCAAGTACCTTCCTAGTATAATTTACATTGCTATATGAGTCTTAAACAGCTTTCCCAATTGAGGCAGTATTTTCACCGTTATTACATAAAAACAAGTATTCAGGCTTCTAAAGCTGTGAACTGATCATTAATCTATTTGGTTTGACATTGAATGAAGAACAACATGGTCAAGAGGAACATGGTCTCTTAAAGAATGAGACTTTCAGTCACATTCTAGATGACAACTTTGACTTTCTGGGTTAGAACCAACCTTGACAGGGGAGCAGAATTCTCAAAAATACTGATTTCCAAACATTTTCATTAAAACATCTGTGGGGAAAAAAAGCCAGATGACACACATAAAATGTGTTGCCCTTGCAATTAGGTGCTCAAAATTATGACATCCCATCAGCTTCCAGTTGATGTTCAATTTATTAATTCCTCCTTGTCTGTAAGTTTTATTCTCCCAGGACTGTGTCCAATTTATTCTCCCAAACATTGTGTCCAATGTTTGCTTGGTGTACAGTAGTGAGACTGGCTTTTCTGTGGCATCTCAGTGCTGATTTGATGTTCAAAATCTGGACATTCCACTGAATGGAAAATAGTCAATCCACAGAGTGGGAAATATGTGTATTTTGTATGTAATATGAGACACAGTGTTTGCATATAGTATTTTAGCAACTTCTTGGATGACCAACTTATTTTAAACTGCTTCCAAATATTTGTGTCATGCCAAAAGGAGTGTTTCACATTTCTTTTTTTGCTTTTCTTCTCAGGAAGCTTATGTGATGGCTAGTGTTGACAATCCTCATGTGTGTCGCTTGTTGGGAATCTGCCTCACTTCAACTGTTCAGCTCATCACACAGCTGATGCCTTTTGGCTGCCTCCTGGATTACATCCGAGAGCACAAGGACAACATCGGCTCTCAGTATCTCCTCAACTGGTGTGTGCAGATTGCAAAGGTGAGCAGACCAAAACTCCAGATCATTTAAAACTCAGAAATCTGACAGCATGTAACTACCTGTCTGCAAATCTTTGTTTCACCACCTGGATCCTAGGCAGTAGCAGTTACCTTTTCTTGAACAATTTTCTATTTTCATGCTGATAAGCAAACACTAACTATTCTTCAAAATGCTTCTAGGCAGCTTAAAAAACCTAGACATTTATGTCCAAACCAAGCACCTGGTATTGAATGGATAATGCTATGCAAATGTGATGCAGCACAGGCAGTAGGGAAGGCAATAGAAGAATTTGTCAATTTCCATAGCAGAATGCTGCTTCCATCAGTGGATTTCTTCGGGCTATGTCACAGGACAGTGATGTTGAATGCATCTTCTTGTGTGCCTAGGAGAGTTTAATGCTGAAATCTCCAAGGCCAGGGATCAGAGCTGCTGACTACTGAATATCAGCTCCATCTTTGCTCAGGCTGGCTTTCACCAAAAGGCATTCAGGCACCCCGGAGCTATTCTGTAATTCATAGGTGCTGAGCTGGGATCTGTAAGCTAACTGCAGTGGCCATAAAAGACTCATTATCACACCTGGTACTGTTTGCCAAAGAGCAGCAAAAGAACTGCAATACAGCCTCTAGTCCTTAGCAGCAATATGCTGTGTTTGGATGGTGGTTAGCTATTTGCAAGCTAGGAAGAACAATGCAAAACAGGCAAAAAAATAAGTGCAATTTGTTGGAGATTCGTCATATGAGATGGCAGTGTCCACACAGCATGGTTGCTTTAATGCTTTTTATTTCAGGAATGCCTGTGTGCAGGAAAACCACATACTTAAAAACTTATCGGTCCCTTGAGGCCTTGTGTACATGCCAGGCTTGCCCAGCTGTGGTTTGCTTTCAGGAAACATGCTGAGGACCTCAGAAATGTATCCACCAAATGTCTATAGAGCACATTTTTCATCTCAGTGTACTTTTTTTACATTGTGCTCCATAACAAGTGAAATCTAATTTATGTGTCCACCTGGGATGTGAGTTGCTTTTTTTTTTGTGACTATTTTGCTTTCTTGTTTAAAATCAATTACTTCTCTGTCGTGGTTTCAGTCTCTTTGGATGATGAACTGGTGGCTATATTTCCCTCCTCCTCCTTCTTCTCCTTGTTAATTTTTAAGGTGACAAAATGTATCCCCAAATGGGTCCTTGGGGCATTGCTTGCCTGAAAGGTTGCCATTCACAATTGTTTGCTTTCCTTTGATTTTTTCATGGCGGTTCAACAATTGCCCATAGCAACTTCTACCCTCGCCAGTGATGCCTGACCTTCAACTTATTCCTTTGTGCTGCTCCACACTGAAGGTTTCCTCAAAGCACTCATCAGTCTTATGTACAGCTTTTTCCCACTGATGTGTCTAGTGTTACTACTCTGATAAAGTTATGCCAGATTTTTGAACATTCTCTGACTCTTTAAAAATTTACTTATGAGTGGAAAAAAAATGAAACAAATACATGTCTGGTAACTAACCAGCAGGAGGCAAGTTCCCTGGGAAGCTTATTTTTGTTACTGTTTTCACAGCTTTAAAATAGGTTTTCTTTGCATCTTTTATAAACATTATCTTTTCCTGAGGTATGGAGTCCTCTCTTCCAGGCAAGATGTTAAGACAGCATAAACGTTCCATGTGCAGAAACATTGTGAAGGAACTCTTTGAACACAAAGGTCTTATGCTTAGTGATGAAAAATGGATTAAACTCCAGGCCTGCACACAATTAAAGATTTGCTGAACTTTCTAAACTGGCAGTTCAACATTTTCAGTGTATGGTTATGCACGTGCATGAGTCTTTAGCCTTCAGTGCCCTAAACAGCTTAGTGTGACACTGATATTCTCCCTTTCAGTAGGTCTGAGTCTTATTAGCCTCTGCAGCAAGTCTATTTTAGCAGGACATTTTTTTGTCCTACTGGGGCTAGATTATGAAATTTATTTTTTTTAAGATAGTCTGTTTTCTGTCAGCAGCTTAGAAGTTTTTGTTCCAAGAGCTCTTCTTGCTAAAGATCTATTTGTGTGATTCAGTGCACGCTCGTAGTGGCACTGCGCCAGTTTGTTTGGGTGGTTTGTTTTGGCAACATTAGCAGTGCATGGGTGAAGTTCTGCTGAGGGACTTGGAAGGAGGATTCGATGGTGGTCCAGCTTAGAAGTGGGCTTAGGAAGTGGGTGGAGGATAGAAGGCAATTATTCCCTCCAGTCCTCTGCCATCACATCAACATGATCATTTTGGTGCTTCATAAGTTAAAAGTAATTTTTTATCAATTCTCTTCCTAAAAATACAAGTGCATAAACCACCACCAGCAGAAATGCATGGAATGGGAATAATAGTGGGTTTTGGAAAAGATATTGCAGGAAACTTGGAAATCATTAACTTTTTGTTTCTATATAACAAAAGACTGGTGTTGAGGGAAAGGGGAGTAATCTCTGTGGTCAGAAATGCAGCTGTTAAATTTATGCTTTAGAAGTCAAATCAGCACAATTACTTATATTCTTCCTTGAGAGATAGTCGTACCAAAAAACCACATATGCTATGGCAAAACCAGCCTAGTCATGGGAGGCAGTAAAACTGAAAGAACTTGCCTTTTTCAAAGAAGACTGGAAAATGGATGCAACTCTGAGTTCAGACTTAAAATGAATTATTTTGGTTTTCCCCCATTTTTACCTTCACAGTGGACTGCTTCATTGTTAGCAGGGAGAAGGCAGAGTACACTGCCTGTCATAAAACACAGTTTGAGCAACTTTGAGTAATTGTCTAAATACTCTCTGTAGGGTTGGAGTGTGTACGTAATGGTAGGGGATAGTTAAACTCTGTACTGTGCTGTCCTGAACTCATTGGGTTTGCACAAATGCAGCCAAAAGAAGGCCTCGTGCCTTTATTTGTAAGTTCCATCCTGATTTTGTATTTCTTGAACTAAGTCCCAAAGGATCCAGATGCCCTGCTACTATCTACTCTACCCACTACTGTGTCTTTTTCCTTCATCACTCCACCAGTGCCTGGACCCATAAGAAGCCTCCTGGAGAGTAATAGTAAAAATCAATAATATTACAATAGTAACACTCATCCTCACCCTGCAGTAAACATCATGTAAATAGAGAGTGCAGGTGGGATAACTTACCACTAATTTATGGTGGTGTCTGTAGTTACCACAAAGCAGGAGATTTTGTGGCTTGTCTGTCCGAGCTCCAAGTGCACGAGACCTGACCAGCATTGTGTTACATTGCAGGGAATGAACTATCTGGAGGAACGGCGCCTGGTGCACCGTGACCTTGCTGCCAGGAACGTCCTTGTTAAGACTCCTCAGCATGTGAAAATCACGGACTTTGGGCTGGCAAAGCTGCTTGGTGCAGACGAGAAGGAGTATCATGCTGAGGGAGGCAAGGTAAAGCACACTGCAGAATGAACTACTGCGCATCTGCTGGTGTCTGTGCTTGCACACAAGCCTCAAACAAAGGGAGGGAAAAAGAGAGTGTTTTTCCAAGCTCTCAGCTGCCATCTCAGCGTGCTGCCTTTGAAGCCTGTGGAAGTCCTCTGAAATCAGCCAAAGCAGCATTAGGCCAGTGGGGCTGCAGAGGGAGCAGAGGTAGCAGAGCAGCAAATGCTTTTGAAATTCCCACCCAGAATGTCTGGGAAAATTCATCAGTGTAGCCAACACCAATAAGACTGTGCAGTTTATAAAGAGAAAGGGAATGTTGTATATTTATAGCAGAAGAAAGACCTGTCAGACTTGGTTCAACATGCTTTTGTGCTGTACTGCGTGCTGATGGAGAGAATGTGTCCTGCTGAGAAATTAAAGAGAAGCTGCTTGCAAATATTGCAGAGGCCATAAATAGAAACCATATGAGTGTAAATCAGTCATGTGGCCTAGGACTGGATTTGTGTCCTGTTTCGATAGATGGCTAAAAAGTAGTTATTTGACTGTTAAAAACATTGTAAAACTGTTTAGTAAGAGATATTTCTGATACACCTAGTATTCCATATGTTTCCAGGTTCTTCATAATCTATGAAAATAATATAGGGGAACTTACAAGTTTCCTGTTCTACTATTCAGATAGTTCTGTTCACTGTTTTTGGGTTTTTTCCTTCTGCAGCCAAACTATTGATTTACACACCACCTGGTGGTAAATATCCCTGGTAAATTTTGCGTCAGCTTCTTAAGGATTCTTTGTGAATTTTCCTAGGTTCCTATTAAATGGATGGCATTGGAGTCAATTTTACATCGGATTTACACTCATCAAAGTGATGTCTGGAGTTATGGTGAGTTTAAAAGCAGTTACAATTATGGCAGATGTGTTGGAAAATTTCACAATTTGCTGGTGACTCTATACTGGCCTTTTTACTTTGTATTGTGAGAAGAACAAGAGATCAACTATATAAACACAGTGCCCAAATCACCTATTAAGCAAGGTAAAATCCCCAGGAAACTGCATGTGAGTGGAGAGTAAGATGTTTCACAGAATATGCTTTGGGTAATGAGCCCTCCCCTGAAAGGAGCCACAGGTAGGAGACTCTGAATTTGCTGAAGTTCTGTTAAAGTATTTCTTCATCAGCTTCACATGAAATATAATGGAGTTGGCAATAGAGATGAATAACTGGAGGACTTAAAATCACTGGCCAGATTATCAGTTGGTGTCAATCAGAGTAACTCTGCTGAAGCCAAAAATGCTTATGCTATCCTGGTACTGAGAGGACGATGCTAGAAAGGAAGCAGTGTGATAACCTCTTTGGAGAATTTATTTTGTATTTGGTATCATTTATAAAGCTAGCTTGAAAGAAAGGAGCAGAAAGGAGACTTTTCAAAGCAACCTATTGCAAAATTTCCCCCCCATGGGCTCTTATATTCTTGGCAAATATTTAATGCAGATGGTCAGATCCTATGTCCTTTTTGAAACAGTACAGCCTCTGGTCTTCTTAATCCATTCACGTATCTTGGCATCCAAAATCTTGTTTTGTATCCTAAGCTACTGGACAATCACAACAGCTACATCACAAGAGTCCATGGTATGTCAGCAAATGACACTTACGCAGCTGGTTTATGTGTCTTTCAAAAACTGCTTTTGCTCGTCTCCCGAGAGATTGTTTTAAAACAAAAAGAGAACTTCCATTTTTAAAACCGCTTGCTGTGTTGGAGTTGAAAGACAGTAACCTGCATTTCCTTTCTGTGGGGCCAGGAAGTTTGTAGAATGTTTAACACTAATATATTAGCTGAGATTAAAAAAAAAAAAAAAAAAAAAAAAAAAAAAAAAAAAAAAAAAAAAAAAAAAAAAAAAAAAAGGAAGAAAGCAAAACCTTAAATGGAAGCAGGATGATTTCAAAGTGTTATATTAATCTCTCCATAAAGTCATGGCAGAAAATGGTTTCTGCAGTTGGAGTTCTGGCAAAACAGTGTGTCCAGGGGACCCCTCTCTGCTCGCCACCTCTCCACACCCAGGCCAAGCAGTCCAGCTCCAGGCAGTCTCTTTCATGATCTTCTCTTCCCACCCTGCAGGTGTGACAGTTTGGGAGCTGATGACATTTGGCTCCAAGCCGTATGAAGGGATTCCTGCCAGTGAGATCTCCTCTGTCCTGGAGAAGGGCGAGCGTTTGCCACAGCCCCCCATCTGTACCATCGACGTGTACATGATCATGGTCAAATGTGAGTTCACACCTGGGGTTGTGGCTGCTCATCTTAGTTTAATAAGTAACTCAGTTGCATTTTGTGCTGTGTTCCTGGTAATGGCACAGAAACAGGGTTGTGTGAAAAGGGTGGTGATACCAGAGTATGTTCCCACACCTGGAGCTTCACCTAGGAGCACAGGATGCGGCTTTGTGAGTCGCTCATTCAACCAGCTAATGCTTTTTTCACCATTCACATCACTGACAGATATTGTAAATTATTTTAAACTGATATGGTCAGCTAATGCTTTTTTCACCATTCACATCACTGACTGATATTGTCAATTATTTTAAACTGATATGGTCAGGCACTATAAATTAGCATGACACCAACCACTTTTCCTGATACTCTGCTTTTGTATGTCTGGAAATAAAATCAACACTGCCTTCTCCTCCAAGCTCCCCCTCAGTTCAGTAATGTGCCTCCCACTGCAAGCACACAGGTGGATTATTACTAAAGGACTGTCGTGAGTGCAGGCACAATCAAAATGTTAGCTACATATGAGGATTCAGAGTTCCTTTTCAAATTTCTTCCTCATTTTTGGCTGGTCCCTTTTTGACATGCAGCTGTTGCAGTATAGTAGCTCAAGAGCAGAGGGTTTCTGAAGCACTTTTTGGCTGGTTTAGGGCATGTCAAAGGGCTTCTGAACCTCAAACCCCCTTTCCATCTATATCATCTACTAAATGTCAGATTACTACCTGGCTTCCTGCACATCTCTAGGCCATGACTGCCACATCCCTGCTCACTGCCGTGAGGATATGATAAGCAGCCCACTAGGTGGCATTTAAGACCTTCTCACTGGAGCAACATGTACCTGTTCCTGAAACAGGAGCCACGCTACCATGAACACTCCATAGTGCAGCACTTCTGGGGAATCCTAGAGTACCCACATATTGCTGTGATGGGACAAGCATCACACAAGGCAAGCCTGATCCTGTGCTCAGCAGGGCAACAGGAACTGCATCCAAAGTGTGCACCTAGCCTGGGAGGTGTCCAGACCCCAAAGCAATGTCCTAGAAACTCCTCAGCAATTCTGAACCCTACTGACACCTCAGCCCCTATCTTTCCTTAGGGTCAGTCCAGATGTAGAAAGGATGCATTTTGCCAGGCACCTAATCTGGTACCTGTTGCTTGTAAAACAGAGCCAATGGAGTGTCCCCATCCTTTCCGTGCCCTTACACTGAATTTAAATGCAAGAGCATGAGGATCTAGGGGCTGAGCCTTCCTCCTGGCACAGGATTCAGTTGCACATCTTTTGCTGCTCTGGTCACCTCATGTTTGCAGGCTACAGTGCAGACCCTATTGAAGCTGTGCCATTTTATCTAAACAAATTCAGGATTCCCAGTCACCTCTTTTGTAATCAAAAGGTATAATCTGAAATGTTCAAAGTTATTGCAAAATAACTACTAATTTTTTTATTTAAAATCTAGCATTTAAATACAAGCAACTTAGAGATTGTCTCTAAGGCAACTTAGAGATAAAGTCAGAAACAGTAGATTCTACTCCTGCAAGGACAGCAAATTCCCAAACACTCCATTTTGTCTAATAGCAAGAAGCATTTCTTTTTGAATTAGTGAGGAAGAATATTTCTAACATGGTAAAAAGTCACTGGAAATGATGAGATTTTGTCTAATGTGGATGTTTTTGTCTAATGCAGATTTCAGAAGGCATATTACCACTTCATTTTCCCGTTAATATAGATAGGCTGTTTCTTCTGCGTTTCTCTAGATATACTAAGCTTGACCTTTATTATTTTTAATTTTAAACACATGAGTCTCTAGATCAGCTCATCCGTTAGCTGATTACAGAAAATGTGGTTTCCTAACTAATATCACATGTAAAACCTCCAGTATCTATATTTGAAATCTCTTCTAGCATTGACCCAAACTAAGCTGTAAGGACTTACTTTTGTTGAAGTCAGTTTACTAATTAAATACGGCTTAGTTGCAATAATCTTTCAATATGTCTCCAGTGAGGATGTTTTGAATTTTAGAAGACATCTGGTACAGAGGGAGGCTTCTGCAGTAGGCTTCCCAGGACTTCATGAAGCAATCCAGTGACTGTCAGTCAATCCTGGTACTTCTGTAGGCACCCACTGGTGTTAGTTTGCTTCCTCTCCTTCAAGAGCTTTTTTCAAAGCAAACTAATTTGGATTATCCCTCAGGTGGAACCTGCCTCCCCATGTAGAGATAGGCCAGCAGGACAGGAGACAGACTCAGCCTGAAGCTTTTCCAGCGTGGAGTTTTATTTCTGTCTTCCCAAAACTGCCAAGATCAGCATTTTCAATGGTGAAATTCACACCTGTGGCTGGTGAATTCACTTTTTATGGTGGTCCCTTAGGGGTAGCTTCTTTCTTTGTTCCACACATGGCATTGCTTTTTTGCTGTTAGATTTTATTTTAAACTCTGTGCTTGATCACCAAGACAATTTTGTTTGTGCATTGCTTTTCCTGCAGGCTGGATGATTGATGCAGACAGCCGTCCCAAGTTTCGTGAGCTGATAGCTGAATTCTCAAAAATGGCCCGTGACCCTCCACGCTATCTTGTTATACAGGTACTAACCACAGTGGTGGGAAGCTCACTGATGGGAATTTCATCTGAGGACAAAAGTAACTAGTAATGCATATGAGAACATATGATATGGATAACTGAAAGCCAGATCTATTGTTGCTTTCCAGGTTTTAACTCGTTCAGCTGGAGCCACAAAGTGCCAAGACTGGTCACTGTTTTCTTAGTACTGGTCTCCTAGACTGGTCTCAGTCTAGGACCAGAAATGGTCCATGAGAGGAGAACAGAGTTTGATCCTGTCCAAAGTGCAGTTTATTTTACAGCAGCATAGACTGAGATTGCAGGCCTAAGTTCTCTTAAACTCTAGGTAAATTTGGTTAAACACACAGATCTCTGACTGGGACATTTACTTAAACATTAGACTTGCCTTGTGAGTCCCTTCCAACTCAGAATAGTCCCTGAATCTGTGAATCAAGATTTTGCATCTTGTGCCTCTTGTTAAATTACTTTGTCTGAGAGAAGGGAAGAATGAGGGCTTGAAAGGAGTCTGCAAGTCTTGTCTCATGCTGACTTTTTCAACAGGGAGATGATAGGATGCACCTGCCCAGCCCTACGGACTCCAAGTTTTATCGCACTCTGATGGAGGAGGAGGACATGGAGGATATAGTGGATGCAGATGAGTACCTCGTGCCACACCAGGGCTTTTTCAACAGCCCTTCAACGTCTCGCACTCCTCTCTTGAGTTCATTGGTATGAAAATTTTCCACTGTGGAAACATGGCATGAAATTTTAAGAGTGAGCTGTTTCTCATAATGTCTGTATTTTCTTTCTCTGTCTTTTAAGAGTGCTACCAGCAACAACTCTGCTACAACCTGCATTGACAGGAACGGGGTAAGTAGAATGACCTATAATAAAGAAGCAACTCCTCCTATGTGGATCAGCTTCTACATATCAGTCCCTTTAATATTGTTTTCTGTATTTTCATCCTAGCAGGGGCATCCTGTGCGGGAAGACAGCTTTGTCCAGAGGTATAGCTCAGACCCAACAGGCGCTTTCTTGGAGGACAGCTTAGATGACAGCTTCCTACCAGCCCCAGGTGAGTACCTCTCCTGGTTTTCCATCCCATGTCCACTCATTCACAAGCCCATTGCTTGCAAATATAATAATTTTCCTTCCTTTTCTGTAGAAATGAAGCATTCAAATGCTTTGTACCCTTTTGGCTCAGTAAATGGGAGTGGAAAAGTGTTCACATACCATTTTCCTAGCCTTTATCTGTCTTCTTCTAACTATTCCTTATGTTAGCCATGTGTGCTATCTAGGCAGGGAGTTTGTGTGTGTGGTTATATTTTTAAAGCTTGGGAAGTAGTCTCTAAAACTTTGGGTTCATTTTTTTTACCATTTCAACAATATAGAGATTTATGACTGTTTCATTGCTTTCAGGACTTAATCCACAGAAACCAGTTCATGGTTTCACGTGGATTTACAGTGTAGGCAGCCAGAGAGAGAGCCAGTGAGCACTAAGGGAGATGGGGCTGGATAATGCAGTGATGATGCTTCGTGTCCTTAAAAAATCCCAACCAACCATTCCAAGAATATGCCATAGCTAAAAAGGGTAAAAGGCCCTGCGAGGAATGTGGATTCACTGTTACTGCCAGTCCTGTATTTTCTAGGCATTTTCCTCATCTCTAAACATTTTTTCCAGGGAAACAGCTTCTGGCAGCTAACCTCCTAAACTGCCGTTTCAGAACACTATCTGGGACACAGCCACCCACACACCACTAAAATCAGCAGTAGCTATCTCACTGTCTCATGGTCCAAGCCATCTTTCTGCTGGTTGGCAAACAAAATTCTTGAAGGTGAACCTCAGGGCAGCATGTTTGATGCCCCAGAGTGGCAGTCTCTGCCTTTGGCTCTTTTCCACTCTGGGAAATTCAGCGACATGCCATGTGCGAAGACCAAGTGGCATCTGGGTTGAAACTAAATGTCAAGTGACACAAATGTCTGCATTAATTTTATATCTTCCTTTTCATTCCTTCTCATTTTATTTTTCTTTTTATTCTAGAGTATGTAAATCAATTGGTGCCCAACAAAACATCTGCCTCAGCAGTCCAGAATCCTATCTACAACTTCTCTCACACAGCAAACTCAAAGGTCTCCACAGATTCCAGCTACCAGAATTCACACAGCACAGCTGTGGACAACCCTGAGTATCTCAACACCAACCAGTCTCCTCTGGCCAAGACAGTCTTTGAGAGTTCTCCCTACTGGATCCAGGCGGGCAACCACCAAATAAACCTGGACAATCCTGACTACCAGCAGGACTTCTTACCGAAGGAAACCAAATCTAATGGTCTCTTGAAAGTTCCTGCAGCAGAAAACCCAGAGTACTTGAGGGTAGCAGCACCAAAAAGTGAATATATTGAAGCCTCAGCATGACCATAGAGAATTTCTTCTTGCAGCAAGGCAAGCTGGATAAATGAACTGTTGACTGCTGCAAGAGTGGACTCTGGCTCAGAGCAAATGGCAACCACAATGCATCAAAAAGCACCTCTGCTTTTCAGCATGGGGTTTTGAAACTGCAAAGCCTGTCTGATGGTAGTTTGGGTCTTTCCTTGCCCATTTCTATGTAATAACTGAGGCCCATAGCCTGCACTCAGATGCATGTAGGGATGGAGCAGGATCTTCCTGGACTGAAGAAATATGGATGCATTCCTTTCATTTTCAAATGGTAGCATGGTAAAAAGCCACTCTGGGATGAACTCGAGAACTGTACACATTGTACAGTCAAATTACTTTCTACATTCTGTATTTTTATAAATGTTTCTAACAGAAATTTTGGATCTTTTACAAGATCAGATGCTTGTACTGCTCATCTGCTAAGTGTTGCTCAGATCACCAGCAGGGAAAAGAATTATGTTCCAAATATCCTGGAACTGAAATTGTTATTCCAAACCACCAGATTTTTACAAATTGGCCCCATATACTGCCTTTTGGCCCAAAGGTGAGAAGTACATCTGAGGGACGTATGGGTGATTCTGCCCAGGGCAGTATGGAGTGGATTGCTCTGGGGAAAACTAGCACAAGGAGCAAAATGGCACAATGCATCACCTGCTGACCACTATTGCTATAAACTGACAAGAGGAACTCCTCCAAGTCACCTATACATGATTATAAAGTGCTCGCCAGTCTGTTTTCTGATGGTCAAACCCAAGACTTTTTTTTGTTCTGATCCCTTACACAGCTGTCAAGTTGTCAAAATGCCTTTTTTTCTTCAACAAAACTGTTAAAGATGTTGCTGTAACTGAAAAATGAAATGTCAGATAATGTTTAATAGACTTCAATTAAATGTCAAGGAAATGCAAATAGTGGCAAATTGGAGCATTCACGAGACAGACTGGAAGAATTACACTAAATTAAACTTGACTAAGGCAAGAAACACAGGTAGCTCTGGCCAAACAGCTTTATTTCCCATTTTAAAGGGACTCAAAGCAGAAATAATTTTCCTTTATACATTTGGTAAAGAAAAGGGTTACTATCTAAGTAATACACTTCACTCACTTCAAGGCAAAATATTACCAGTTGTTGTCCCATGCTGGGGTAGAGGCTGGGGCTGGTTGCATGGCCCTTTGGGGTTACTATTTTGGCAATGCAGGAGAAGCAGTGAGAATGAATTAAGGAAAGAAAGAATAATTTAGAGTGATGGAAAATACTATCTCCCTTTTCTGAATCACAGGGTTACCTACTGCTTCTTTGAAATATGCAGCATCATCTTCTGGCTATTAGTGTGGTATAGGCAGGCAAGGCAAGGCTAAGATTTTGGCTTGATGGTATAAATCAATCACAGAAGTAAAAGCAGCTACTCTTTTCAGTGACCCATAAAATTATTTCATCACTAAAATTTCTTATGAATGTAGGAGGAATAAAGTACTAAAGTGTGAATTTAGTCAATCCTTTAGATGCATCCCACCAGCACCTTGGCAATGCTATTTTAATCAAATCACTAGATCAGAAAGCAAATTCTCATTTGGGGACAAAGGCCCTTAACTAGTTGAATGTTGGCAACTTGCTTGAGGGTAGCATAAGCAGCTGACTTGGGGAGGATCTGTAGTCTATATTAAGTAGCAAGAAACAGTCAAATTCATGCTGCTGCTGTGTTTAGAATACATCGTTATGTGTTTCAGTTTAGGTATTGCATCTGAAGTCCAAGATCAAGCAGTAAATCCTTAGAGCACTTCTTTTTCTGTTACTGAGGAAAGGAGACCTTCAGTCATGTGAAATGAGTCCTTTTTTAAGTAACATGCATTAGCAGTTTGTATGTGTACAGCTCATGGGTCCCACTACAGTACAGGGTGAAGTGGCATGTTGGGTCAGAATCCAGAGATTGTTCTGTTTGGTAGATGTGTCTCATCATGACCAAGTCCCAGAAACAGCAGAGTGGAAGATGCAGTGTTTGATTTGGATTACCAATTGCTTGTATTTAAAACAGTAACCAAAATTCAGTTCCCACATCCAATTAGCAGCAGATTTCTCCTTGCATTCCTGAGAGCAGATTTGTTGTGTTGCTCTCACAAATGTGCAACATGTGCACACAGGCAGTGTTGTTTTTCCCCACCCACCACCCTGGCAGAAATGTACATAAAACTAAAAAAAGATCTCAACAGAATTCACAGATAATTTTTCAATTTGCTGGAGATGTTATGTCTCCAAGCAGAACACTAGAAAATCACATAGTGCATATTCTCCCACAGAATCTTTCAAACACTAATGCACAAAGGAATTTACTGGTTTTAATCTGTTTAATCTGTTAGCTAAAACAAGAAAGCCACTGAGAAATAGCATTGTGTATCACCAGCATTATGCAGCATGAATAGACGTTAACACTTGCCCTTTTAAAGCAATTCAGGAGGGATTCAATAGCAATTCATTGCTAGAAACAAGAACATTTATCTAAAAATTAAGCAATCTAAGATTGAAAGAACATCTCTCTTTGAATGTGATGTTTTTGATGAAAAAAGTAAGAAAGAGGAAGTAGGACCACAAACTCTTGATACGAATGTAGACTCCAGATTGGTGGAATCAACTATATATTGTGAAGTATTTCTGATAAATGGCATCTGTAAGCCATGATCTGTAAGTTGGCAGCTCAGTAATGATTCAAAAGCCAGCAAAAAATAAAACCTAGGTAGTGCCTTCAGGGGCACAGATACAGTGGCACTGGGAGCAGATGGGACTGTGCAGTAAATGGCTGTGGCTGGAAGCACAGGTTCTATGCAGGGTGATGCTCACAGGTAAAAGACAATAAAAAAAAAAACCCAAAACACAAGTAAACAGCAGAAATGCTCTCACTGAACATTAAAGAGCCAGGAGACCCTAGCAGATTGTGTGTGTGCTTATACAGGAGGCCATGGTTAAGCAACATAAATCAACATGCATAAATAACTTGAAAGTTCAGCTGGAGGTGTGGGTAGAAAAGGCTAATTTTAAAGACACAGCTAAATAGGGAAATGTTGCATTCCAAAGCCTCTTCTAAAAGCTGACAGTCTCACCACTTGAGAAAGATAAAATTTCCCTTTTTACTGTATTTCTCATGGAAGACAAAACACTCACAAGTTAGTCCTTAGCATCTATCATAAAGCAGTCGTTATTACAGAACTCCTTTTGCAATAATAATTTAGGACTTTTAATAACTTCTAAGTGTATGAAAATGTAAGTTAAGAGTCTTCATCTTACTTTGATGTTTTCCAGTGGCTGTGTGCAGTGTCAGCACCCTTGATTTCAATGTGGGCCTTGGGTTGTTTTCTTCTGCTGCGAAGGGAGTTGATCTGGGAAATTTTCTTCATGTTGCAATTGGTTTTGTCGCGTAAATTCACCCGGAGGCCAGGGGCTTGCTATTGTTCCCAGCTGCCATTCAACACCGAAGTAAGCTTTGTTGGAGAGTGGTTGGAACGAACGAGATGGTGGTTTCTGGAATGCCCCATCCCACCAATCTCACCACGACTTGAAGCCTGCCCTAGTATTAGGAAATGTGGTCATGGGTTTGTTTGAAAGGAAGGGGCTTGCATAGGGAGAGTAATGCCAGGGAAGCGCTGCAGCTGACCAGTCCATACCTGAGACAGCTGCTGAGTTTGCACAGGGACATCACTGAGGCCACTGACTGTTCCTGCAGGTACAGGTGCTCCTGTCCCTGAACCCACCTTGATGTGAAGGCGGTTGCAGAGATTGCTTGTGCAAAAATCAATGTACATAACATTTGTATTACGGGGGGTATCTCTTCCCTTCCCTGGGGGACGGAAGTAGGGTTACAACAATGTCACAGGACCCCAAACAGCTTGGAGAAATACCATCACAAGGTGCCTGGGGTGTTCTTGGTCTGTCTGTGGGTGCTCCAGGGTGTCAAGAAGAAACTTTGCATTTCCAGACAAGCGCTCATTTTTCACATTCAGGGTTCCACATTTTCTGTTAGTATGACCACTGCCTGTCAAATGAGCAGTTACGGTACTCTGGCCATTGTTTCCCCCAGAGTTTCTCTATGAGTAAACACTTGAATCAGGAAAAAGTATGAAAATGTACCTGTGTCCTCCTTCTTGGTGGAAACTGTATACTCATGAAATGTCAGACTGTATATAACACTTAGCAAGAGTACTTTGTAATGTTTTATCACCACTGATTCAAATTTTTATATTGGGATCCCATTTTCTAGCTTTCTTCTTATAAATGTTCCCTCTTTGTTCTGACATACAACTTTCAAGAAGCCTTTTTAAATAATTTAAAAAAAAAAAGAAAAAAAAGTTTATACAAAAGAAAAACTTGACGCCTTCAAGTAGCTTGTCAAATGGGCTGCATTAGGACCAAAGATGTAATGTCTTGTTTTCTTGCTTTAAAGGACTAAGGTATTGATCACCACTTCCACAGCCCCTTTTTATGGAGAAGAGCTACAGAGCTCTTTGTTAGGGCAGGATGAGACCTCCACTGAGCAAAGAGAGCTTAGCAGGAGGGTGAATCCTGTCCATAGAAAAACAAACTGAATATCAGGACCATGTATCACTTCAGGGCCAAACCTACAACCTCTACTCTGTATTGCACTTGATGCATTATCTAAACAGAGAGACAGCCAAGGAAAAAAGAAGGATATATATGATATTTTGGCTCAGTATCAGAAAAAATATGATGATGTGATGATGAGGCATGATAAAATAACTTATTTGTGTGAGGAAGTGTGTAGGCAGGCAGTGAGACTTAAAACTGCCTTGTTTTAACACTTTTGATTATGTATTACTTTTATTATTCGGGGGAGTTGAAATCACAGAGCTTCCATGATATGCTTTGCTTTCTGCCATGTCTCCTGCCTGAATTTGGTATCTGGTGTTAGGCAGATCATCACCTCTATCACCATGGCCATGTGGACTGAGAATTGCGGGTTGGTGCAAGCCCTTCTTTTTATGCAGGGAGAGAAAAGTGCAGCCATAGTTGGCTGTACTACAGTTAGTGGTCAAGCTAAACCCTCAACAGAATCCAAAAATGGGTTTCCCAAGGGAAAAAATTGGTAACTGAATACCTACTTAGCAAAAGACACAGCACTTGTTGCACTGTTGAAGTCAGCAGTCAGAATGCTGAACACCTTCAGGCAAGATTTGGGGCTGGTGCTTCATCAACTTTGCTGTCATCTTGTAACACGGTGCAGATGGGGCTGTCTGTATGTGCAGCAGGACAGGTCCTATGGTCTCTTTCTATCTCTCACTTTGAAGTAATCAATTTTTCTAACTAATAAGGTAAAAACCAGAAATCAAAAGAAAGAAAACCAGAAATCAAAAATGCCTCTAACAACTGGACTGGTAGAAAGTGTTGTTCCTACATAGCCAGTACAGTACATCATTTCCAGTCAGGCTAGAATTTATCCAGAGTCTTCTCCTTACCTCCCATAAGCTGGCTGGAGAGTGTGCATTTGCAACCACCATCAATGTTATCCTCATATTTTATTAAAAGGAATAATCAAAGTAGTTGTCTACAATGGTAGGAGGCTTGGCTCACATAGCTGTGTTCTCTTTTTAATCCTATATTCCTATTAGTCTTCTTGAAATTAATGGGATGTTTAAATTGATTACACTGAGAGTATAAAACAAGGCTAATGTTGAGTGATTTTTGAAAATCCCTCACAATAATCAGAGATCCTATGGATCCATTGCCCATTTTAGGCTGCTTTGTATTGATGCAATCAACCGAATATAAGGTATGATGACTTGGTTTTAATAAACTGTCAAGCAATATATCCACAGATACAGATGGTACCCTCAGAGCATTGTAAAGTTACTCAACTATGAAAGCACTATTTGTAAAATAAGAAACTCTTGACTTTTATATGGTTTAATGGTTTATACTGTTGATCAAAGATTGTTTGTATATGAGCGATGAAAAATGAGGTGTATATTATTATTTTTAATTGTTTTTAATTTTTGGAGGACTTTTATTGTAATATACTGTTGTATTTGGGGGGAACAAAAAGCAGTGGCTAGCTTGTAGCTTGAAGCCAGAAGAGAACTCACAGTAAGGGTTCTTTATTGATGGACTTAGATTTTTTCTTTTCTGGTAAAATTTGTCACCTTGGGGATTTATCCTGAGCTTAATGACGCTAGTAACAGCACTCTTTCCTCTCTTCAAGACTCTTTGGCTCCCTGCATGCACAGTGCTGGAGTTTCATAATGTGAGCAATAATACAGGCAATCCTTGTGACCAATGGAAGTGCAATATGAAAGCCCAGGTGCTGCTTATCAGGGCCCCAAAAAAAGCTGCTCTTTTATGTGTCAGGTTCCCACTTCACTTCTATGACAAGAGCAGAAGCAGAATGAAAGCAATCCCTCAAAAGCTGATCCATGTGGCATATGAAGCCATAGTGTTGGCCATTTCCAAAGTGCATAGCTAAGGCAAAATAAAATCTCACCCAGAGTCACTCTGATGACTTAAATTGTTGTACTCTACTAGGCAGGAAGAGAAATTGTGTTAAAAGGCAGCCAAATGAAGCTCCAGTGTACCCTGAGTAAGGGTGTTTAATATCCCACTGGTGAAACATGTGGCTGATAAAGATTAAAGGATTTGCAGGATCTTCAACATAACAGAGCAAAATACATTGGCAAGACAGTAAAGAAGAGAGGAGCTGGAACTGTCAGTATGCATTCAGCCTGGATAGGTCCCTGGTATCACAATTAGTAAATGAAATAATTTTTGTCTTTATAGATTAATTTTGTACACAGGAAAAAAAAAAAAAAAAGCCACAATAGCACCTTTCTCATTTTCATCTTTCCATCCAGACCCTTCCAGTACATAGGCTGCATGTTTTACCAGCTCAACCTACTTTATGCAGTAATTATGTAGTCTTAATCTTCATATTATTGGTTCTCAGAAATGTCTAATGCGTATTAATGCATGATATTTTTATTTTAATAAAAGTAATTAAATAAATATTTGCTCTTTTGGCACATGATTTCCTTCCTCTTTCTTTGAAATCAGCTGGCTTGAGAAGATTCTAGATAAGTTAGTATTGCTCTGAAGAAGAATAATTAGTATCAAGAAGGAAATTGAAACATACATTGTACATCTATGCATCTCCTCTGAAGATCAGAAAGCAACTTGTAGATTCAAAAGTCCTTATCAGACAGGAAAATGCTGTTGTCTGTATCTGACACAGGCAGAGCAGTGCCTCTGTATTTACCCCAGAGGGCTGAGGACCCTGACTTGCAAAATCCCACTTTCAAAGCACCAAAAGGGAGGAACTTAAAATGAAGAATGATATAAGTATAGAAAAGTGTGGGTGTTTGGGAAGGATGAGCATTCAGAAATTCCACTGAGTTCAGTGCAGTCAACTTCAAATAAACAGAAAAGTGAGAGAGGGTGCAAGAATAGAAGATAGCCAAAGAAACACAGCTGCAGTTTAACCTCCCTATCTGCCTGCACAGGATATGGCAGATTAAGATAAGATATAGAAAATTGCTATTAAAAGATAGGAGAGGAATATAAGTCTCTTCCACAGGCTCCATCATTATTAGCAGCAGCCCTAAGAAAGCCTTACCCTTCCTTTGGCACTCCTGACCTCGACCCAGGAAAACAACAAAGCCAGCTTTTGGGGAATAAATGCCCAATAATTACATCAGGGCACATCAGAAATGTACAAGGGAGCCAGTAAAAGATAATGTGCCATGGGGATGCTCTCAGCCACAGCTGGACCACCTACCATGGCACCTGGGACAAACTCACATACCTCCTGCAGCACTGAACATGGAAGGGCTTCACCATCACTCTTTGAGACAGTCACATTTCAGCAGTAACTCGTCACAAATGGCCTTGTTAGCTCTTGTCCTAAGGCTAAGGCTGCTGACTGGGGCAATGCTTCTGCAGCAGCATTTGATAAGAGATGTTTGTAGCAGGCACTGGTCGGGCAAGAAAGAGGGGCCTTGCAATTGCCAAAGGTGGGGGGTGGGAACAACAGTGAAGGTGACCCAGCTTCTTAAAGTGGCATTATGTTTGCTGTCCGAGATGGGCTCAGCTCTTTTGTCAGCACCACTTGCATCAGACCCATGGCAGACCCCTAGGAGGGGTGCCACTCACATGGCAGGCACAAAGGGACATGTCCTGCTCAGGGTGCTCAGTGGGGTGGCTGATCTTGCTCCCCACATCATAAGGTGGCCTGCTTGGAGCCCATCTGTAAGTATAAATGGAGAAAGTAAGGCCCCAGTCCCACAATGTGAATTATTGCTGTTTATTTGAGAGAGGAGCTGGAATTGCAGATCAGGTGATGCTTCAAACTGTTTGCTGGGAATTGAAATCTCTCTAATAAGCACCATCTGTGTGAAGTTCAACACCAGAGCTCCTGTTGCAGAAATCCTCTTACTTGAAAACCTGTTTTCTTTCTAAAGAGAGCAGAAGGAATGTTATTTAATGAGCATGTTAATCTCAGAGACTGCTTTCTTCAGTTGCAGCCCTGAAGTATAAATAGCTCAGAAAAAAGCACAGTAAGTGTTGTTCATCTTTATCCTGTATTGTATGTATGTATGTATTGTGTGTTTGCACCTTTTTTCCCTTTTCTTTTTTGAAAGCACACAGACTTATGGATTGCTCTAGACTTTGCTGGACACCGTCCCTCTCAGATAGGAGCAGTGATACAAGAGATGCATATCCTTGTCTCATAGACAACTTTTATTTAGCAGTGTTTGTCCTGGCACTGATTTAGCAAGCCAAAGAACAGCTAGTGAGGGTCACAGCTGGTTGTTTAGATTCCCATCTAGCTCTTGGAGCCTCTTAAATCATCAAAAGCTGACGATCTCTGTGTGAATTTGCTGGCTGTGGGTAAGAAATAGAGCAATGTGTAACCTCTACTGCTGCCCATGGAGACCAGCCCATGTGAGGTCGAACCAAGCCTGGCTAGGCATAAATGTCATGGGAATGCAGTTCTGGCACAGCCCTTGCCCCTGTGGCCAGACATCCTATGGGGCACTCGTAGATCACATCTGCAACTATTTGAGATTGCCAAAAGGAACCCAAGTTTGCAAAGCCTCTATGGGATTATTCCTATTACCCCTGCTTCAAAGAGCAGCAGAAGGAAAGCTAATGGTGCCCTCTCTTGGAAGGAAGAAATTCTGTCCAGAGCACAACTAGATGTAAAATAGGTCTCCCAGCAAGCCAAGCTGAAAAAATGAGCTTGCGTAGGCAACTTATTTTCCAGTCCATTTGGAGTACAGGTTCATGGTACATTTAATCCAACCTATGTATGGGATGCTGCTAGAAAAGGTTGCTGCACTGATCTGATGGAAAATTAATCTGTCTTTTTGGCAGCTTAGTTTTAGCAGACTTGCAAGACAGCTGCATGCACCACAGAGCTGACTTCTGACATGGCAATGTACATGCAAAGGACACGACCATACCCCTTGATGACAAGTGGACAAGTGACAGCATTGTAACAAGTGTGACCTCCTCCTGCCCTCAAAAGCTCTTATGCATGTTACTACAAATAATTCTATTTCCCCAATTCTCAGTTACTGAGTTTCTTTGTGTCTTGCAAGAAAAGCAATATTGTGCAGATGAGGCTGTGAAGAATCTTGAAGTAATGCAAATAGGCTGTGTCAGATCAAAGAGATCTAGATTCATGTTTGGTTTGTGATCATTATACTGGTGGTAGGGAGAATTCTTCATCCAGCCTTCTTGTATCTTATGGGAATGCTGCAGCATGAGTTTGACACAATACAGAAGCAAAAGAGGCTATTTTCAGTGAATGGCATTTTTAGAAAAGCCATGGTTTTGCCTAATGCAAACACTGCCTCCATATACTTTTAAAAATTAGTGTATTGGCCTCTGGGGCTTGCTAAAGCAAGATTATTTCTAGTACTTGTTTCATTGGTTTAGTATCCAGTGGGGATCTGCCTAAAAAATCTGTCCACTTTATGTTTTGCTGCTGTGAATAATAATGCTGGAACAGAATAGTAAACAAGCGAGACTTTCAATTATTCTTGGGTTTTGAGTGCTAAGCTAACAAACCTAGCTTTCATCAGACATGAGTTGTACCAATGGTGGAAAGTAGCAAAATGTCTGTGTGCCAAAACCTGGGAACTTCAGGAGGAGAGAGCAATAGGCATGTGTCTATAAGCAATACGTAACAATTCAAGAGCATACACACAGCTGCCCTCCTCCCAAAAGTCAGGCTGCTTTCTCCCCTGTCTCATAGCAATGCCTGATGAGGAAGACTTTGTAAACCTACGGGGCCTTTCCCCACTGCAGGGGAGGCAGCAGCAAGGGACACCTTCATAGTTACTTGATGGTCAGGCTGCCTCCAAAGGGCACTTGAAACCAACACAGAAAGGCAGGCACCAGGTAATTCCTGGGAGAATCAGTGATATATATGTAATTGAACCAAATGTGATTAGGCAATAGTTATTAGAGGTAACACTGGCTACAAATTCATCTTTGTAAGCAGCCTTGTCAGCATGCTAATTGCACCGGCTTTCTAATGCTTCCCTTCAATGGAAACAGGTGCAGATCAATAGGTCACTTCTACCAGAGGGACAGTGCTCACTGGAAAGCTTAAAATAATGATTTAGCCAGAGATGAGCCCACTGAAATACTGGAGGCTGGGCCAGCTCCATCAGAGGATTTCCACCAGGCTGGTTTACAAAGGAGAAGCCAGAAGAAGGGGACGAGAGGGTGTAGTTGGGACATTCGGACTCTCCAAAGAAATCATGACGAAACCTTGGAGGGAGGTGACCCTGTCTGCTTCACAGTATGTGACTCATATTTAGTCTTACAAGGACTCTGGGAGGTAGGAAAGCTTGTTACACAGGTAATAAAAATAACTTTTTTTTTTTCCCTAAACTTTAAAAATGAGAGAAAGAAACACAACCTGGTCTAATGTGGGATGGCCTAAGAAGATATAGGTGGACTGTAAAGGGCTGTCAGGATAGAAGAAGTGCATATTTTTTAAGGATGGGAAGAAAACGTGGTTGAGCTAAGAAGAGGTGTGTCAGAGACTGGTTGACTGATTTGGGAAAACAGGTATTTTCTTTAAAATAAATCTGCACCAGAATTTGGTTGTGGTTGAGTGACCAATGGCACATGCACACAATGATCATTTTATTTCCTAAATCATTAACTAGATCTCTTTATACATGTGGTTATTTTGTTTTGTGGCAAAGGTTTGAGCCCTCTTGAGATGTTTTGGACAGGACTGGGTCAATTTGCTTCTTGGATGGTCTCTTGGACTTGTATTACTTAGTGGAGGACAATGTAGCAATGGGCACATGGGGAGTGCTGCAGAAAGAAAAGTGACTGTAGATCCTGCCTGGAAGTGAAAAGAAGAAGTGTGGGCTGTAGCAGGAAGCATTTTGGAGGAAGTACCTACAGAAGCCAGTTTTTGAGCCCGTGCTTATGACTTTAGCTGAGGCAATGGCAGCCTTTTATACAGTTTCTTTATCAAAGGGTCAGTGCAATTGCACAAGTATTAGCTCTGTAGCTGAACCACATACAGGCTGCAGGCTGTTTTGTGCACTGTGTATTTCTTAGCAAGGTTTTCTTGGTATTTAGCACAGTGAGGTCCCTTTGAAATCAGGCCCTCTAGATTTTGAGTGGGAAAAAGATCCCAAGTGCACCTTCTAAAGAGAGATGCTGGCTGTGCAGTCTTCTGGTCTCACATTTCCATGCAAAAACATAGAAGGGTGCAGTTTCCTATTTTGCAAGCCTATCACCTGCTTACATAGAGAAGGTATTACCTCGAGGAGTCTTTAATGGGCTTGGAGATTATACTTTGTCCTCAATGTTTGGTAACTGTGTATTGAAGTTATCATTCAAAATTTTTGCTCAGAAAACTTTCTTGGATGAAAGACTGCTATTCTATTAAAATCTATTTCAAACTCAGTTAATGATCATGACTCAATCTTATGCTTTCTTACAACAAGAAATAACAAAAAATTACCTAGAGGTGATCAGGGAATTAATAAATAG